GTGGTTCTTCCGGCCAATCAGTTTCAGGCATGGACGTAGAAAAATATTTTTTTTACGTCCATGGTTTCAGGCAATTTTAGAAAATGTGGTCCAGAAAACCACTCACCTCCTGGCAACAAATCGATATCTTTCCTTTCTTTCGTCGCTCGATCTGCAACATTCAATTCAGATGGTAACCAATGCCATTGCGACAAATCAGAGTCTTCGTGAATTTCTCCAAGTCGACAAGCTACGAAAATCGGGAATCTTCTTGATTCAGACCTGATTTGATGAATAACAACTATTGAGTCAGTCCAGAAGTGAACTTTATCAATTTCATATTCCAGTTCCTTCCTTATAGATTTTGCCATTCTACATGCAAGCACTGCTCCTTGTAACTCCAATTTCGGGATAGTTTGTTGATTTATTGGAGCAACTTTGAATTTTGCTACTAAAAATGTGGACTTCGTCATTTTCAACCATCCTCAAAAAGGAGACTGCTGCATATGCCTGATCACTTGCATCGGGAAATAAATGCAAATCAACTTTGTTGATTAACGTAGAATTAGGAAAGTAATATCTGCTGATAGTGACATGAGTATAATGTTTCAATTGGGCAACCATTTCAGCCAGGTGTAGAAAAGTTCTTCTGTTATAGCTTGATCCCAATCAGTATGACTTCTCCATATATTCTGAATCAGAATTCAAGCATTTATCATGAGAGGAGCAAGAAAACCAAGCGGGTCAAATACTGTCATAACCGTGCGCAGTACTTCCCTTTTTGTTGGTACTTCCTCTCCATGGCAGATTTCATCAGGGATTTTTTTCAGGCTCAATATAAATACAAAATTTTCAGTCGTAGGAGACCAGGATATGCCCTTTCTAACATTTTTGAGTCCAGTTTCACGTCTACTTGAGAATTAGCACGCAAGTTCTCTGGAATCGACTTATTTACTCATACCACTTTATATTTCAAATTTTAAATTGTATTCATTAGTATTCAAATTTGAAGTTGTATTCATTAGTATTCAAATTTCTGCAGACCCCACGCACAGGTATATCCTTTTGTGGGAATTCTATATTTATTTGGAAATTGACTCGTACAATTTGTATCATTGAACAATGTATCTTTGCCAATAAAAAAATAAAACTGTCTTCTAACATTGTTTAACGTATCAGGCATGACCGACCTATTAGCAAGCGTTATTCGTTCTTTTAAGTCATTCATATCTGAAGGTTTAGTTTTGTACACATTGTTCTTTACATATCCCCATGAAAAGAAATCTAATGATGAAATATCAGGTGATCGCGCTGGCCATTCAATCGATTCTCGCCTCCCTACCCACCGATTGGGAAATTTTGTATCGAGATATTGACGGACATTAACTTAGTAATGTGGTGGTGCTCTAGCCTGCTGAAAACATATCCTATTCAATGGAACTTGAGTGTTTCCTGGATCGGGATATAAATTTGCCAAACTTGGAATGACATCATTTTGAAGTAATGCCAAATAATTATCGTCATTCAAGTTGCCCTCAATGAAAAAGGGATCGATGATATGGTTTCCTACAACCCCTGCCCAAACATTAACCTTTTGAGGGTATTGCGTGTGTTCTTCTCTCAACCAGTGAGGATTTTCCGTTGACCATTAGCGGCAATTTTGCCGATTAGCATGACCGTTAAGAGACAAAGTGCACTCATCAGAAAAGATACATCTTCTAATTCAAATTGTAATGATATTGTTATCCAACATGTCCATTATTTGCTCACAAAAATAAGTTCTTCTATCAAAATCGTCTTCCATGTGCTCCCGAGTAGGTATCATTTTATAGGGATGCATTTTATTTTCTTTCAATATGTTTAGTATCGATGTATGGCTAACATTGAATGTAGTGGATGTCTGTCTACTCGATGTATGTGGGTTTTCCTCAAACTCAAGCATCACATCTAATTTGAGTTGCTTTTTCTATCTGCCCCACACGAACAAGCTCGCGAAACTGCTTCTCATGAAATAAGCGTGCTACTTCCTGTTGTGCTCGGGTTTCACCTGCGTAACCAATAATTTTTATGCATGTATGTATGTTTTTTAAAGGATATCATCTAAAAAGAACATTGCTATGGTTTTTGCTCACTTTCTTATTACAAATACCTCAACATGAAAAAAGTTTTGAGTATATTGCAATAAGTTTTGGGTGAATTTTATCGAATTTCGATAACCACAAGATTTCAATTAATTTTATCTTAATTGTTGCAATAAACCTGAAAGCGATAACATTTTTGAATAGAGAATAAAAAGGCCTTTCAAACGATATATCACAAGCCTATACTTCTCATTTGAAAAACGGAGGGTTTTTACTTGTCATTTGACGGGGGTTGAATGTGTAGAGGTGGCATTTTTCCGTTGAAGTATGTCAAATTATGATTTAAATTTGACGTGTTTCAGGATTTTGTTAAAATATGTACCGTGACCGAAATAATGAATTTATTCCATTTGGCTTTGACACACTGTATGTAGAGCATACACAGATTTTAACGGGAGGAAAAATATTTATTGATAAATGTTTGCTTCCATGCGTGGATTTTGTTACTAATCTCTTCTAACATGTCAATGTTCAATATTTTCAGGCATCACACCGCTCATGTTCGCCACCGCCATGGAAGACACGTTTGCTTACGACCTCCTGATCAAGAACAAAGCCATCAAGACCATCAAGAACTATCTAGGCGTCACCGCCGATCAGATCAAAGAGGCGAAAGAAGATCAGCACAAACCGGAAAAAGAACCAAAACTCACCCCCGCCGAGATCATCTCAATGAGCCCCTACATGACGGTCCTCCACTCGCCGTGTTATCCGCCCCCCAACTTCATGGTGCCGCCCCCGGAAATCACCCTGAGGAAGTCCTCGAACACGATGACGCCCTCCCCTAACATTTACATGAATACCCCGAATGTTACCCCGATCACGCCTATGAACTACGGGCTGCAGTATTTCTTTCCTCCAGATTTTTCTCCGGGTCATTATTGTTCCTGTATTCCGGGGAGCTCTGTTCCGCTTCCGATGATGGAACACTCCAACGACTTTTTGAACGCCAGGATGAACCAGTCGAACATGTTTTTGTCGCCCATGATGGGTTATCCATCGCCCTGTGTTTGAGTTTTATGATTGTATGAGTCTTTTTCGTGATTTTATATAATTGTGTGATTTTATTGTACTGTTTTATGTATACCTACCAATGAGAATATTATATTTTGACGAATACCATTTGTATTATTTCATGATTTTATACTGTAACTTCTCAAGTAACTTATTTTCATTCTTTCAGAAAAGCAGTAGGATGGGTTTATCTATTTGTGTGCCTCATACTTGTGTTTGCGGTAGTATAGTTGATGAGAAAGGTACACATGGTTTGAATTGCAGGAGAAGTGCAGAGCGTACATCTCGACATCACCAGGTGAACGACATTTTGAAAGGTGCTATGGTGTCAGCGGATGTTCCTGCGATTTTGGAACCCTTTGATACCAGTCGAGATGATGGTAAACGGCCAGATGGTATGTCTCTCATACCATGAAAATACGGTTAACCTGTGGTATGGGACTTTACTTGCGTTGACATGGTTGCGGTTTCCCATCTAGCCAAAAGTTCGAAGTCTGCTGGAACCGCAGCATTGTCTGGCGTAAAATTGAAACAAAAAAATACTAAAATCTTGGTAACAACTATCTGTTCCATCCAGTAGCGGTTGAAACTTTTGGTTTTTATGGCCCGGAGTATCTGTTATCCGTTCATGAACTCGGAAGGAGAATAGGCCAAGCAACGAAAGATCACCGTTCTACCACTTTTTTGCTAGAAATAATTAATTAGTATTGCTATTCTTGTTTCGGTCCTTGTTTCGGTCCTTGGAACTTTTCGTCCTTTACATAATTTTGATGAGATCATGCATTGCCCTTATTTCAGTACGGAACTGAAATCTCTTCGAAACAAGCCGAGATATGTGGATATTCATCAGTCTACTATCAAGGTTAATTCGCAAGTGATTTGATCAACCTTCTTCTTTTTCAGTGCGGTCAATGAACTCAGGTCATTCTTGCCCCCCAAATATGAAATGCAGTCCTCATGGTTGTGGTTCCCTTTTAGTGGAAGAGCTTCATGAAGCAAGAGCCGAATCGATCCCTCTACGAAACCCTTCATCATTTGGAAACTTGAGAATAAAATTGGATTAAATAATTTAGGAAACACTGGTTACATGAATAGCATTTTACAAGTGTTGTTTATCACGAAGAATTTCAAGAACGAGGTTTTAATGATGAACGAGAACGAGAATGTTTCCTACTGATTCACCAAACTCAAACACCTGTTCATGCAGCTACAGTTTCGTAAGAATGTATCATTTTTTCCTCCAACCGATTTTCTGGAGTCTTTGAAGTCAATTAGATACTCATTAGGACAACAAGAGGATTGTTCCGAATTCTTGGGGTTCTTGTTGAATACCTACTCTTCGTGAGCAAAACAATAGAAGAATCAATACTCCTGAGCGCTCTGGATTGAATGATTCCGTACAGTCTATCGCTAATTGCGCACACACCGATTTTGGATGGCCGATTTTATACCTGTCGTCCAAATTCCAATAGTGAACCACATGTGGGAACGGGACCTGGCACACATGCCTACCCTGATCGGCGTCGACAAACATAAATCGGTGCTCACATTTCACGTAAATCCTAAATTTGGATTTTGAAACTGAGTTTTTCGCATTAACATTATCGTTTTTTTCTCAGGTAATAATCCCAACATCTCGTATATGAAGCTCAGTCGATAATTCAGCTCTTAAGCACACACACACACACTTTTTAATCAATTAAACTTCGTGCACTCGGGATACAACTCGTGAGAAATATTTAAAAAAGGTTGAAAAATTAGTTTGGTACAATCAGTTTCAAATTCCGTCACCGGCCATCTAACCACTGCCGAAATCGAAACTTCCGAATAAACTCGAACCGCGATCAAAGGCGTCGAGACGCCGGCGCTGACCGCAGACGTTGACGACGTCGACGTATTTTTAGCAAACATCAAAAACTATACAGTGAATGCGGCAGTGCGTCCTTCGATAATAGTTCGAATAAATCGAGTTAGTCCGCAAATGAGATTAAACTGATTAAAGAATGGCCCGTTCGATAATATTCCTGGAAACAATTCGTACTTGATCCTAACTACGACGTGGTTCTGTTGATGGAGTGCCAAAAATCTAGTTAGCCTGCGGAATAAATTATTTCTGGTAAGTTTTGTTATGCGATTGCTAATCGGTGATGTTATACAGGATGTCCCTCAGACTGAGTGTTTTCCTCGCTTAATTTTTCAAGGTATTGTTTGTTGATTCGTCATGGGGAATTTCTGACAAGCCTTGTTTACTATTATGACACTGACATTTCAGGTGATGTCCCAATGATGGGTTATGAAATGAAGGGAAACGAGATGATACATTTCTGTAGTTACCTTTTTTAATATTTTTGTGATAATTGCACATTCGAAGATATTCCGTATTGAGAAGAGCATCTTAACACATACCGCACGAGTCTCAAAACAGGAATTTCTAGTTTTGATGAATTTTTTGTATAGTTAGAAACCACATTTCTTCCTGAATAAACATGTGGAGACCATTCTGGCTTCTCCTGTATATAGGATGTTCCTATACCTGTCAATATATTTCATTATAAAAGACAAAGTAGCATAGGGTTGCTGTTTAGCAGACCTGAAACTGAAACTAAAAGCCCACATCCATCAAGCTTTCCCAGAAAATGTAAATGCTTACAATCTCGATTTCACTGATCTCCTTAATGAAATTGAACAAAAAACAATTAACTTGGAGATGCAAACTCAATATGTGAACTTGAGAAAGCTTACAACTGACCAACATTAACACTGACCAAATTATTAATAAAGTGAATGGTTTAGAAATCCTATCTTCAAAACTATCAGAAAAACTAGATGATAATAATACAAAGCTGGAAATCTATGAAAACTTAGTGAAAGAAAATTCAACGTAGTAACACCATCCTTCAATCCAATGTATAATGAACCTTCACAAATGAAGCAACTTGTGGATAAACTGAACGAAACTCTAAAGATAGGATCAAGATCCAGAGCTAGAAGTCGAAGTGGGAATCCAAAACGCCGTTCAAGTTCTGACTCTACAGAACGAAAAGAAGTTTGCCACTACCATATACGATTCAAAGAGCGAGCTACTAGATGTACACAACCTTGTCAATTTCAATCCTTTTCTCATCAGGGAAATGGCAAAGCCAGTCGTTGAAGGCGAACAACGATCAAGGCATTAACAATTATTGTCGTCTATTCCTCAGGATCCCTGAAGAACTTATAATAGAAAGGACTGTTCCTTCCCCTACAGTTTTTTCACAATCTTAAAAAAAACATGATAAAAATGACAGCAATGCCTGGAACTAATCACGATAAACGAAAAGTACACGTATTCATGCAACGAAATATCAACTTGTTCCCATTTGTTCATTGAGAAATGAAAAATGAAAAATATTTCACTATATTAGTCAATGGAAAGCATAAAAATATTAGTATTGACCGTTTGAAACCAGCTTTCGTTGAAGAATACGAGAGAGAGGGAATTGGAGAAAGAACATGTGAAACACAAAGGATACAGAGAAGCATCCAAAAAATTGTTCATTTTGAGTGACCATCGGATCTGTGTGATCATCCTGGTTTCTCCTGTATATATGTTCCTATACCAGTCAATATATTTTATTATAAAAAACGAAGTAGCATAAGGGTGTCATAATAAAATAATTCAGGTTGTTAAAATTGATTATTCAAAAAACTAACATTTTTAATAAAAGTTCTTTGAGTTGTTCAAAGCAAAAATTAATTCCACAAACATTTTGTTATTTTTTTGGTAAACAGTAAATACATTTATTATCTCCTCTGAAAATCTAACAAAACCAATTCGTAATCAACTTCAAGTGAACGTTTACAAGCCAAACAGTTCATTAGATTCAAGTTCCTTCCATGAACTTTATTCAGTCTGTCAGAATTGATTCAAAGAAATCTCAACAGATTTTCCCTGATCTGGGTTATATCATGCTAGTTGCTAGTATACAAATCAACTTTCTTTCAAAAACTGGAGTACAGCTCAAGATATTTATTTACAGTTTTGCGAAAAAGCAACCAAATCCTCGTCCTGAATTACTCTAGGTCGACCACTTCGGGGCTTATCTTTAAGGCCAATATCTCTGGAACGGGTGTTCATCAACACTATCATTGCTAAATGCCTGGTTCATTTTTCAGGCTATTTCGGCAGCGCTTTGGTTCAAATTGAATTCGTAAAGAAAAATCAGCTGAAAATAGCCCAATAACATCATTGAAAAAAATCTGCATCAATGTTTATAGTACAAAATTCTTTATCTATCGATATATACCACGACACAGTAGAATAAATATTTATTGAGATATGGAGCCACGAAAATACATGTCATCAAAACGGACAAAACTTTAGAAACAACCTAAAGCCCAATTCACACAGGACGGACGTCTGGCAGAGACAAGACGCGGACCTTTGTCCTTCCGCGTCTCTCATATTCTGTGTGAATTGGGCCTAATAGTATGTTTCATAGGAACGAATAGACAACTGAATAAGTTCTTGGATTCCATAAGTCTTCTTCAAACGTCCTTCACATAAAAAATGAAGATGAAAGAAAATGTTTCAATACATTTTCTTGAATCAATATTAACAAACATATGATTTTTAAATTTTTCATATGATGTGAATTTTAATCAAAAAATTATTGTTATGAAACAAATTAATATCAACAACGGTTTTAATAGCAATTCTGTAGATTATTGTACAAAAATGTATAAAGTCACACTATAAAAAAATACCCGATTCTAAGTTCTTACAAAATGTAATTTCAAACACGTCTTGAAATATGAATATTGAAAATTACAAGACTTTGGTATCAGGTAGAAACTGTCAGGCGGATTATATTCGATGTTTTACATAAGTCAAACAGGAAGTATGGAAATTTGTAAATTGAAAACTTTACAATACCTTATGAATGACCGAATCAATTTGAAAAACTTACCTGGCTCAATGTCTTTCCAGGAAATCATACTAGTAACTAGTAAATTATCGTACCTATTTAAAATGATTAATTATTTGATTGGACTGTATTTAGAAGAGTTCAGAGTGCAAAATGGTTGTAAATTATGGCTACATCATCAATAGTTCTCGCTGCCGCGATTTTGTTTTTATAAAACCTTTATAGCAACAATCTTACAGTAAATTGTATCAGTTTCAAAATCATTTCATTGTTATATTATACTTCATGAAAAGTTCTGCACTGATAATCAAAATACGATCGAAAAATATGGTGAAGAGGCTTTTGAAGAGTACATCATACAGGAAGAAACAAAATTTGACGAATGTAGCTTCAACAAGATGGACGTTATCAATCGTCAAAGTCCGGCAGTCCCTGCTAGAAGACCCTATAATTGTTTCGGAAAGGTTCTATCTTCCAGATTCTATCTGAAAGAAACTTCTGTGCACTGAACTCAATTGTTTTTTCCTCTGGTTGGAAATTCACCCATATTTTTGTAGAAATATGAAAAAGTAGAAAAGCTTGACTCTTTTTTCTTTTTTTTCCTTTGAACTCACCTACTTCAAATTGTTTTTAGTGAAATGGCTCTGGTTATGCTGCCAAGCGACCTGCCTTGGTGGGATGCAGTGAAGAAGCAACTGAAGAAAATCGCAGAAACTCGGAACTCATTCGATCTGGTAGAGCGTATGCAAAAAATATACGAGATGTGCAAGTATACATTGTTTACAAAACTAATTTTGGAAGAACCTAAACAATTGACTATTTCAGTGTAAGTTTAGAACCCGATGAAGACCCTGTAGATCCCCGACAGTTAGCTGGATTCTTGAATTTTTTAGATAATGACCTTACAAATGAAGAAAGGAGTACTTTCTTCAGTAAAACGTTGCCAAATATTGCGTCTCGCGCACTCAAAATCAAAGAACTGAAACCAAAAGGTGGCCTCCATTTTAGCTTACAGCAACAAGGTAAATAATAATGAAAACTAATAACTAATATTATCAAACAAATGCTGTCAATATATTACAAACTTTTTTTTTGTCTCATTATAGTATCTCTGAGAAAAATGTCTCGAAGCAAGTTCAGTTTCGTAACAATCCAGTTTCATTGTCACCTTATATTTGCCGCTCAAAATAGTGAATGAAACTCGTGTTCATCAGTGAAACGAAATGTTCACTTTTTTCTTCCCAATAGAAGTTTTTACACTGTAAAACACCTGCTTCACTCTAATCTTTTTGAATTTTATGTCACAATGAGACACTTCATGCTTGGTTGACGTCACAAGTCTGTATGTGGCGCGGATTTTTATAAAAATGTCTTTTTTCTGGTGTAGATACGATAATGCATATCTGTATTGTTCAATATTTTTAAATTATGATTTCTATTGTGGATTTCTTTACATAAATAGCGAAACTACACAATTATAATTCTATTCGATATCCAATAACTCAAAACTGAAATGCACCCAAAAACAAGCATAATAACAACACTACCGTATGCATTATATTATTTAGAGTATAAAAATATGCTATTATGCATGGTAAGATTGACGTACCCAATTATCAAGGGAAATTATTACTTATTTGATAAAACAAGACAGTTCCTTCAAATGTTGAACGTGAAAACAAAAAACATTTAAGAAATCTTCTTTTGTAATTCTACCGAATACTTTTGTTTTTCAGCTGACTGTACTGAACTGGAATACTCATTTGTATCATCACTCATAGCGAACGCGTTTTTTTCAACATTTCCAAAGAGGACAGGAAAAACCCATCCAACATTGCAAAATTTTAATTTCGCCGATTTTTTCAAAACTTTGAACAATAATACGCAGAAATCGAAATTGAAGAGTATTTTGTACTATTTCGAATGGTTGGGTAGATCAGACGACTCAAGTGGGACCATGAGAATACTCAGACAGGTCAGAATAATTGATATTTTTCTCTCTAGAAATGAGCATTAGTTACCGTGTTCCGTAAGAAATTACTAAAAAACCTTTAAAAATATGTAATCCGAGGAAAGACTCAATTTCGAATAGCTATTTGTCTGATAGGCATCACGAAGTTGGAATTAGTAATATATTGAGTGAACCAAAACAAATAACATTTGGATTCCCACAAGGTGCCGTTCTCGGGCCACTTCTGTTTAATATCTACATTGGCATTATGTTCCTAACTGACACTTGTGGTGAAATTATCTGATTTGCTGTTTACACTGCCATGTTAGGTAGGTACAGGATCCTGACAAAATCAAAAATATAAAATTGATCATGATTTACTCGAATAGAGACATTTAACTCATATTGAAATTTAATCAGTTCCTGAGTAAGATCTCGTCTTGTATAGATAGTTTTCAATTGGACTCTATATAAATAACTCAACATTACAAGTTTAGGAATTGTTTTGACAACATTTATACAAACATTAATACTTATTCTGCTTTAGGTGATGAGTAGTAAAGAATGGCTAACTATAGAAGACTGGTTAGAATGCAGCTTGCCTCTTTGTACACTGAAGATCAAACATGATGGAAAACTGGAAAGATCAGAGCAGGATTGCCTACAGATATGCTTTTCTAGTGCCAAAATTGGAGGAAACGTTCTAAGTAATGGATATACACAGGTTCCTATATTTTGTTTTTTGTCTGAAGTAATTTTCAGCTGTAGCTAGGTAGTTAGGGAGTCCCGGTAACATTTTTTATTACGGATTGCTCGTGGATAGTGTTTTTTTTTGGTTACTCTCTTGATGTACATTTAATGATTGTTAGTTCAGAGAATTAAGAAATAAGAAATAAATTAAGAAATAAGAATGTATTTCTGATATAATTCAAGGTCATACTTACATATTGCATGTTGACCATTTTTGGAACTTTAATGGAGAAAACAAAAACTAGCTCTTCTGAAATTAATCGATTACATTCAAAACTGTTCTTTATATGTGAGTTCTGGCCCTTTTTAAGTGTCGTTTTTGATGAGTTATAGGAATGTCTAAATTTGGTGACAGCTCCCGAACTATTGGCAGTTCTGCTGAACGTTGAAGCTTTGGAAGACAACGAAGTATTGACAATAGAGAGAGTGCGGCACTTTTCAAGGATTTCAGATCCCAAACAGAGAGCGTATTTGGAAAGGCTGCAACCACCAAAAGACGTAAGAATCCAATTTTTACATTCAGCGCCAAGCTTATCGATGTTTTATTTGCCATCTCTGAAAACTTTTATTTGAACTGTTTTGCAATTAAAAATCCTTTGAAATAAACAAATTGAACATTTTTGAGCAGAATCAGGCTTTCAAGTCCATTTCAGAATTTATAAAAATTGGAATGAGAACAGGCCTTATTACTGATCCTTGAGGTACAGAAAATATTTTCTTTCCAGCAAATGACTAAATAATTTAGGACATCGTTCCTAATACCCGTATGTCCTATAATTTTTGAAAGCAATGAATGTTTACCCGTACATAGATGAAGAGACAAAAATACACAGTATCCATGGTATTAACAATGGGGTCAAATTATTCATGAAAATACTCATTTCTGACCAATATCTAATTAACACTGGATGTTGGTGACCAGATTTTGGTGATTTCTGATTCTAATAATTCAAAGTAAAAAAAACATCAAGTTATTGTTAAGAAGGCTTATTATTATCTTTTGGAAGACCATTATGAAAGGAAGGTTGAGACAAGAGTAAGAATTTTTCATGAATTATCGACAAACCGGCATTTTCGAAAGAATTGGTTCCTAGGGTGTCAATTTTGAACAGAGACTGAACATTCACTAGATCTCTTCCAGCTATAATAAGTATATAAACATTAAACTGTACGAATTGAAGACAAAGAAACCAATATAGTAAAAGTTGATATATTTTCATCTCTATTCAAAGTCCCTACAGGAATTGTATTTACGTAATAAATAAATAAACTTTAACATAGGTTCTGAACTTTCGAAATTAATCCACTGGGATTCAGGCTGCTTCCTTGAATTTTCTCTTGACCCAATGTTCATGAGTCCGGATGGCTACTGCGGTTTTTCGATTTGTCTGTAGTTTCTAATCCGTTGAACTGCAGAAACCTCCAGACAGATGTAATAAAATTACTATTATTTGTTTTAAAAATTTTCGACGTTGAAGTAAGTTTTCTAGGAGAAAACTCTAGATGTAGTATAATATTATCATTCATACGGATGTACAATCATGGATCTCACCCTCCTAACGTTTTCAAAGGTGATGAAAGTGTGTGAACCTTTAACGGACATGATGGTACATCCCGAGAGCCCATAATATTCTTATTACTCTATTTCAGATGACCGTCTGTTTTATAGACGCAGAAGACTACACCAAATTGCCGATCGGACAATACGAAGAAGACAATATTTTAAGGGAATTGAACAAATGCCTTCTAGGATTCCAACAGAAACAAACAAAATACCCCCAAAAAGAAAATTGCCATGGTACCTCCAATAGACGCAGGCGATTGTCTCCAATAGGAGAATCAACGGGTATGCCTTTCCGAAGTTTCTATAGTCATTTCTCCACCGTTCTATTCATTTGTTTATTCCAAAGAAAATTGCATAGAGTACCTATTAATACACCTTATTTGAAAGGACTGTCAATTCTGTATCCAACCCTGTAACACTCTTGACACAAGCAGTGTTAATTTTTTCACTGGAAAGTGAAACTGAACAAGAAATATATCAAATTTTCGATTTGGGCGCCATTAACTTACATACAGCGAACTTCTGTTTCCTCTCTTAAATTCTGAAGAATGTTAGGTTTAACTAGACCACAGCACAAGGTAATTTCTTTCCGTGGATTATCTTCAGTAGTTGGCTGCGTCTCGTAGCTTCTTTCTTTCAACCATCCCCATAAAAGTCCAGTGGAGTCAAATCGGGGGATTTAGGTGGCTCCTTAGAACCTCTCCTTCCAGGCCATCGGTAAGCTATTGAGGTCTATAGGCTCCCCAGTCAGTTGTTGCTGAGACAATTTGTTGAGATTTTGTTTCACAATAGAGACGTCCAACTGAAAAAAAAAATCTTCATGAAATTCGTATGAAACTTACCTTTTCGCATACTGAAAAACTATATTTTTTAAGTATATTATTTTGATGTACAACCTAAAAAATAACTCGTCAGAATATTATTCTTCTGAAAACCGATTATTTCAAAAGCAGCGGTGATGTATTTTTATTGAAACATCTTTTAAAAAGTGTACGAGAAGAAAGCGAGTTTCTTCAATAATTCGCATTTTTGATAAACTTTTCCATGGTAATAATAATAATATAAATGGTATTCTTCTTTCGCACCATCTAAAGGTAGATCAATAAAAAAACACCATTTTTTAGAATAATGGTATTTTAGAATAAAAATCATCAATTTTTCAATGTTTAACATCAGAACATTAAGAACACAAGTATCGTGAAGAACATGGTTTTGTAGAAGAAAAAATGAAAATGAAAACATTGGTTTTTCCAAATTTACTCGTAAAGTTTCAGACTATATTAAAAAATGGTTGTCAAAAACCAAAGAAGGCTCAGGATGTGGAGTGTACTCCAGATCACTAATGATGACCTAGGAGGATATCTCCTCGGGAGGATGTACAATGGGTCACATGTGGCCTAAGTGCGTGGGCTTACACTCACCCTCCCTACTCTACAGATACAGATACAGAAAAAATTGTTGTAGATCTTGATATTTTCTATAACTTTTGTACTCAACTTTTTTCAGTAGAATGAATAGTTTCAGAGGAAATTATAAAAAACCTTTCCAATCCCTAAATTTTATTACATTTCATCCCCTTCACCTTGAATCGACTTCAATATTCATTTTTCCTCAGAACGAACAAAATATCATCTATATTCTCTCTGATAATGTTTATGCTGTTATTACTTTTTTTCTTCTTGGGATTCTAATAGGCTTCTGCACCAGTCTACAACATTCCAACAATCTGTTAACAATTACAATCTTCCGTAGGATCAATCCATTCAGACAATTTGAATCTTCCCCTGATAACTCAGCAGTCTTGTAGTACCAATCAAAGTGGCTCTTGCTCCCCTGTATCGGAAAACAACAATACTTTCAACCAAAGACTGCGTGTGCAACTGGACAGGGAAAAAAATATGCAAACCAGAGGAAAAGTCAGCAACGAAGCTTTGGTACATAGCAGAAGAGGGAGATTTATAGTTCTTGGATCCTCTGGTGAATGCCTGCCGGTCACCAGGTTGCCTCTGGAAGACGAAGAGAGCCTTTATTCCAGCTGCGGGTCATCGGAAGGAGAGTTTGTTAGTGCCAAAACTAGTCTGGATGATGGTAAGTAAGATTGAGTTCATCGTTTAATGTTGAGAAAGTTGAGAAAATTGTTATGGACAATCGTCGAATCACTATTAGAGAAGTTGCTGAAGCGTGTGGCAGCGAAATTCGTTTCAAAATTATTTTTGGTTTGGGATTTATCCCAAAATTCATCCTTTCACTCAATTACAACCAAGTATCAGGCTATCTACATTACCGCTGTTTACAAACTTTTCCTTGAATAAATATAAATAATAATGACATCTAAATTTACTATAGTCGTGTGATGGGTATAGGCCCTAATGCGCTTCCTGTTGGCATGTCGAGCATATGTGGTATCGCCTATACCATCGACATAACGCGGCCCTAAGAGTACTTTTATTATCACCTAACCGTGTTAGGAATCACGTTAAAAGGTAAGACCTCGTTAGTCCTTAACTCACAGAAGTTTCTCAACTTCTGAGAGTTGTCGTTCGTATGGGGGCGACAGCTGATTAACGGAAAAACATATTTCAAAACAGATTTTTTTTAAACGATTATGGTGAATTTTACTAGTTCGGACTTCCATTGTCTAATATGATTCGAAATCTATAAAAGAACAAATAAAATTAGCATGAATAGCTAAAATATCATTTGTATTAAGTAATCAAAACGTGAAATGAAACGAATAAAATAATCAAGATGAAAGATGAAAGTGACCACACAGTGTGCTGTCAATCCATATACCTAATACAAAAAGAAAAAGAGAATATAAGCACATGATCTAAAGTAAAAACATTAAAAATGCTTTTAAGTTCTAGTATCATGCTTTTTACGTTTTTACCCGTGGGTTGACCAATAATTGACTACACTGAATAATCAAAATTAACTTTCTTTCACTTTAAATACACAAATACTTCATGTCTATCGCCTTACTAGATCACTTCGCGTACCGCACTGTAACGTCCACTTGACTGTGTCGATATCCTCGTGGCTAGCTTTTGAATATCGTAATCGAATGCAGTAGTAATTTCACCTAAGTTCGGTAGCATTATTCTCGCTGCTTCTAGAGTGGCGGGGAATCATCGTACATTCGCGCGCTTTTAGCTACGTCACGTTTGGTTTACGGTTACCAGTGGCGGCCAGCATTATTTTCTTTCGGGCATAATTTAAAACATGCTGATGAAATTTGAGATTCATTCTAGGAGTTGATTTGTTTTTGAACACTTGCATGCCTTATTGCACCCATGCGTTGTTTTTCATTTTACATTCAGTGAGTTGGCATCTCAATTTATAGGTAGTGGAGATGAAAATTATCACAAAAGATACAGTATCGACTTGGAGACTCCAGAAAGACGGAGTATATTTGCTCAGAGGTTGAAAGATGCCTTACGGAAAGAAATATCAAGTAGCCTGCCCAGTTCCAGCGAGGGTTCCAGTTACGCTGTAGATATTTCTGTAACAGGCTCTGGAGTACACGATCCTGACATAAGGTTAGTGAAAATTTCGATTGCTGTTTATTCAAAATATACACTATGGTCTGTCCAGAAATGAGAGAAACTACAGCAGTATATATTGTACTATCATTTTCATGGCTCTATTCAAACTAAACGTTTTATCTTCTTGTTTGTTCTTTTATACGGTTAGAACGCCTAAGTCCAGGTATTTGTTCTCCCCCTTATGTTGGAGTTTCTCTAGTTCCAATTTTTCTAGGAATGTGTATTGTATTGTATAGTACCTATATTGAATATTAGGTCTTGATGTGTTTTGATTTGTATTTGTTCCTCGATAAGTGAACTATGACTTTTGAATTTATGGATGTTTAGGTTTTCCCAGATGTCCATACGGTACCGTATGGTCATAGGCCATAGCCATACTGCATCCAAATCATTTACTCTCAATGAAATGAAAAAATGAATATACAAAATTTATTTTTGAAAATTCTCATTCATAACAAACAAAATAACACATTAACTACGACAAATGTGAAATGACCAGGAGTAACCAAGACATTCTTCAACAATGAAGTATTTACTTGAAGGGGGATTGAAAAAACATTGTTTTTTGAAGGCGGTATAAATAGAAATTCCTTTGAATCATATCGTCAACAGACACTTGGCTTTTTCCACAGGAAGAGTTGGGAGTTTAAAGGCCAAGGTAGAGGGGTTAGTCTTAGTCTTAGTGATATTCTTCAGTTTACTTCGAGAGCGCGTTGAATAAATAGCTATACAACATGGAAGCTAGTTGTTCGAGAACCGTGAAGCGCCCGAAACTGTCAGCATTAAATATAAATGAAAAAACAATTATTATGCATTTTTATAATTCTTTAAGGATACAATATCCGCCCGAAATGAAAAGTAAGGAGGTAGTAGTGCAAAAATGCGCGAGTATGACCAGTGTCAATAGATCGACAATTTTTCGAATTCTAAGTAAAAGAGTTTAAGAAAAACAACAGCTTTTTGGAGCCGAAAGTATCCACTGGCAGAAGTATTCAACGCAATATGATGAACACTGTCGGCCGCCTCTTTTGGTATTATTTGTCGCCAGTCCCTATTTTAATGGTTCCCTAGCGGAGTCCTCAAGAGACATAGCGGGTAGAAATATCTCAGTGACTTTGTGGATGAATTGCAGTGCCACTTGCTTGAGACGACTATGTTGCTTTCTTTGATATGTTCCGGCATGTTTGCGTTCTTGAAACCCTTCCACTCTCAGTTAATAGCGAATGGACTATATATACAGCAAAAAATGTTTGGTCTATACCTCATTCTATTGGGAGATTTTTTTAAACAGGGTTCGCCGATGTGGATCAACAGGATTCGCTCTTCAAGAAGACTCACTGGATGAATCGTTTCTAGAGAATTCTTTACAGCAGGAGAAGCAGTGGATAGATAAATTCAAAACGAAACAAACGACTTTGAATAGGAAAGAATCTAACAAATCGTCGGAATATAGTTTCAGTACCGAATATAGGTAAGTCTTACTTTCGCAGAATTTCAAGCCTTTTATGTGACTAAAACTCTTAATGAAACGACAGACATCGTGATGATCAGACACAGTGCTAGGATGAACCTCGAATGCATAATTGTATTCAACTCTCTTGGATGAGCAAGGTTCCAATTGTCTGTCGATCCCTTAGATGGTATATTTATACGAGAAAATATTCATATCAATAAAATGAAAGTGTAACTGTTTTTGTACATGGAAGAATAATATTACTGGAGTTTTTTTCCAACACCAAACCGTTATTTTTACACCTCGACACGTGTTTCGATCATCCAAGTGATCATCTTCAAGAGGAAGATCAAACTAAATATAGTTAGAATATTATACTCATTAATACTATAGATATCTCTTCTAGGTACCTGCGTCTTAATTGTCTTAAATTAATTTCACAATACTGCCTAATATACCAGCCCGAAATTAATTTTACAATGTGTCCTTATGTAATAGTCAGGTAAATCTAATAATCAAAATATTATTTTAACGAGCTATTTAGTATACTATTAGGTATTGTATTTACCATCGTTATTCATAATATTATTATGTTTACTTATTTCTACTCTCTCATAGGCATCTAGATGCCTGTTGTTGTTAACTTGTCTAATTATTCTTAACGAACTAAAGTCTATGGAATGGTTTTGTTGCAAAATATGATGGGCGACTGCTGATTTTTCAGGTTTTCCATATATTAAGTGTGTTAAGTGTTTCTTATATCTTAATAGATCTTTTTGTATGTCCATAATATTTTGCATCACAGTCCTTACATTTAATTTCGTAAATTCCAGGCTTTTCCGAATTCTTAGACCATGCTCTCTCCAAAGTTCATCTTTTAGCGATTTGGTATTCTCGTCGAATTTGCTCATTATTTGAACTCAAATCACCCCCAGAAATTTCGAATAAATATTTTTCTGCTGATTCAGTCAAGTTATCCCACAGTCTCTTCTATAGTACTGATTTCTTTCTAGAACAATCTAGCTCCTTCTCCTCCAATTCTTGCTTCAATTCGGCGACTTTCAAGGCCACTAGGCGCACTTTCCTCGAACACATTTTGTCTCTTATTGTCTATTTTCCACAAAACTGTATATGTCCATTGATTTCAATCGAGTTCGAAAACACTCATTTACTTTCACAAGTCTATTTTTCGCGAGAAAGGTCTATCAGTTTATATTTCCGTAGTCCGGTACTGTCCACTTCACGAAACACAACGAATCATCAGTCTCTCTGCGCGAACAAATATGTCTTATAGTCAATTTCACCGCAATACAAAGATTTTCTACCAAGCGCTCACAGATTTATTTTACAAATCAACTTCTGATCACCACTTGTAACAAATTAAATAATTAACTGTACTAAACAAATTTATCTGTTTAAAAAATCTGTTTAAAATCTGTTTTTCCGTTAATCCAACAATATTTCACTAATCACAAACTAATTTATTTATTACAACACTTAGCAAATAACGTTTAATTTATTTCCACTATTTGAATTTCTTGTTTAGCCGCTCGATTCACTTTCTGAACTGCCCTCTTGCGTCGGGAAGCCGTGCTTATATCAGTAACGGTCCTTTCAAGAAATCTGTAACCGGTTCGGTTCTAGAGTTTTACCGGCGATTCCCGACTGAATTCTTTCGCGGTGATGTCATATGTTTGTTCCCTGAGTCGGCCAGCATATCGGTCAGGGACGGCTTCAGATTCGTTACAATATCTTCAATGTATTGACGGCGATCATTTATACCTTATTATTCGTATTGATGATCTAGTTGATGTGATTTTCATTTCCACAGTTCAGAGTTAGAAGAAGTATACGAGCAATTTTCTCGATGGCTGGATAATCCTCTACTGGAAGAAACAGAAAAAGGTGTGAAGAGGGAACTGGATGCCAGAGAAGTGGCTGTAGTTCGATTTGCAGGTATTATAACGCAATGTGAGAATTTTGCTAGGTTGTCATTTTCTACAAAGCTTGATTTGGCTTGCGATACAAGTATTCTTTTTGAAACAGCCCTTCTAAAAATAATGTTCATTATTTTTATTTTTATCCATTACTACGTATATAGAATTCTTACTTTTTCAGGATCAATTCTGAAACGTACCTTGAGTGAATCTTTTGTTGGGATACCTGTTCCTTTGACAGAAAGTTGTGATCCAAACTCAGGGAACAACGAGGAATTCTGCACACAACGAAACAAATTAGTTTTGAACGCTAAATCTTTGAGTCTAGAGTTGGCCCGTCAAAAGCATCGGTTAGCAGCACAACTAGTAAGATTTTTTTTAACAACTTATTAATAAAAAATATTTGGGGAAGATTTTTCCGAAACACATATCACATAATAGTCTAAAATGAAATCATGAACATTTGATTATATGAATATAAAGGTTTGCATATACAACATTTGAAACAAAAAGTGAAGAAAACTAACTGTATTCTCATTTCTTCACATTCATAATTTCAGATTGTTAGATAGCTCTATATCTTGTACCTATTGTATTTTTTCTCAGATCAAATTGTTTTTAATTTTTCAACTTGGTTTGATTGAATTGAATTAGAAATTTTGTTAAGGACTTTCAGTCAAACATTATACAGTGTGTAAAAGCCAAATGGAAGAAATATATTATTTCGGTTAATGTACATATTTAAAAAAAATTCCGAAACACGTCAAATGTAAATTATAATTTGACATTCTTCAAGGTAAAAAGCCACCCAAACCTTCAACCCCCTTCGAATGACAGGTACAACCCCCGATTTTTTAAATGGGAAGTATAGGTTTGTGATATATCGTTTGAAAGGTCTCTTCATTCTCTATTCAAAAATGTTATCTTTTTCAAGTTTATTGCAACAATTAAGATAAAATAAATTAAAATCATGTGGTTACCGAAATTTGATAAAATACACTCAAAAACCAAAATGTAATGCAAAACATATTGAAATGTAGAATAAGAAAAAGAACTATGGATGCTAAATAAGTAGATGTTCAAAATATTCACCGCGAACGTCTTGGCAACATCCTAATCTCAAATAAAACTGCCTTCTAACATTATTTAACATATCAGGCGTGATCGGCCTATTAGCAAGCGTTATTCGTTCTTTTAAGTCATTCATATCTGAAGGTTTAGTTTTGTACACATTGCTCTTTACATATCCCCATAAAAAGAAATCTAATGATGAAAGATCAGGTGATCGCGCTGGCCATTCAATCGATTCTCGCCTCCCTACCCACCGATTGGGAAATTTTGTATCGAGGTATTGCCGGACATTAACTTAGTAATGTGGTGGTGCTCTAGCCTGCTGAAAACATATCCTATTCAATGGAAATTGAGTGTTTCCTGGATCAGGATATAAATTTGCCAAACTTGGTATGACATCATTTTGAAGTAATGCCAAATAATTATCGTCATTCAAGTTGCCCTCAATGAAAAAGGGATCGATGATATGGTTTCCTACAACCTCTGCCCAAACATTAACCTTTTGAGGGTATTGCGTGTGTTCTTCTCTTATCCAGTGAGGATTTTCCGTTGACCAGTAGCGGCAATTTTTCCGATTAGCATGACCGTTGAGAAACAAAATACACTCATCGGAAAACATAACTTCTTCTAATTGGATGATATTGTTATCCATCATGTCAATCCTTTGCTCACAAAAATGAGTTGTTCTATCAAAATCGTATTCCATGAGCTCCTGAGTAGGTATCATTTTGTAAGGATGCATTTTATTTTATTTTAATATGTTTGCTATCGATGTATGGCTAACATTGAATGTAATGGATGCCTGTCTACTCGATATATGTGGGTTTTCCTCAAACTCGAGCATCACACCTAATTTGTGTTCATCACTCATTGCATTGGCAGCTGCTTTTTTCATCTGCCCCACATGACCAAGCTCGCAAATCTGCTTCTCTATTTTGCTTATTGTTCCTTGAGATTTGGGTTCCACGAAATAGGCGACCTACTTTCTGTTATTTTATGCATTTCCGTTAATCCAACTATTTGTCAGACTTGAAGTTAACGAACTTTAAACTTAAATTAAAATACTGACAAATGATGTTTTTAAAAAATACCATCTAAAAAGAACATTGCTATGGTTTTTGCTTACTTTCTTATTATCAATACCTCAAAAAGAAGTTTTGAGTATATTGCAATAAGTTTTGAGTATGTTTTATCGAATTTCGGTAACTACATGAATTCAATTTATTTTATCTCAATTGTTGCAATAAACTTGAAAGCGATAACATTTTTGAATAGAGAATGAAGATACTTTTCAAACTATATAATGCAAGCCTATACTTCCTATTTAAAAAATACACTGTATGAATATAGATGTTTATAACAGCATACACAACATTTGAAACAAAAAGTTAAGAAAATTAATGAAAAAGAAAATGTATTCTCATTTCTTCACATTTATTATTTCAGATTAATAGCTCTATATATTAGGTATATCTGTTTAATTTTTTCTCCAACGAAATTGTTTTTGATTTCACAAACCTTTGTTTGATTGAATTGAATTAGAAATTTTGTTAAGAACTTTCAAACATTATATAGTGTCTGGGTCTACATTCAATCATACTTTTGATAACTTTGAATGGTTTATATGAACATAATGTGTCATTACTGAATTCACTCTCAAGTAAGTATAATAGTTGAACCACATGCAAACAAAACCTGATAAACATAATTGACTCCTTCGATATTTACAGTAACAATGAACCTCAGTATGGGGTGATAACATTTCAAAAATTACTTCAATATTTAGCTTGATCCTTGACTGTAAAACGTTTTTTAACAGAGTAGTGCAGCAGATCCAAAAGCAAAGAAGAAAACTTCCCCCTCATTAACAAAAGCTCTGGCTAGTGACGCTTTAACTCCAGAAATTTTAACAAAAACAAAAAATCCTAGAGCTTGGTTTCTGTCGTGTGTTAACGAGGCTATAATTCAGACATTAGAAGACATTTCTGTTAACGTGACTTTGCCCCCAAGCGAAAAGGTAAATAATGAGTAATTGTTGTGTTTTGATTACTAACACAATTAACACTTAGCAGCAAGAAAATGGATTCTATTGTTGAACAGTGAAATGAAACAACGCTTTAATGTGAGGTTTTCACTGAACAGTTTTACAAAAATGCAACACCTGTTTCGCTATACAATAGCTTCTTCAGGCGTATTTATAATATAGACACTGAGAGACAATCTACATTTCATACTTTGCTTAGTTTTGAATGAAAATATCAACTTTGGATGAAGATTAAAAGTTCAAGAATAATATTTGTGGGTACTATTTCTAGTGAATTCCACGTTATAGTTCAAGTAAACGATATAGTACAATCTACCTTTCAACAGCTCCCCTCCAATAATATAGTTAGGGAGATAACTAATTTTGTTATTCAATAATAATTTCTGATTATATAAGAATCCCAATAACTATATAATGTATATATAAAAATATATATAATAAGTATTTCGTTTACATAGGTGAGTAGGAAAGTAGGGATTCAAATAACTCACATATATATACAATCGATCGCTTCAAAAACACTTCACTAACTTTCTTTGAAAGCTTCAGATAATTCCTCTTCCATCCAGTCTTCTTCGGTACTATTAGACACTTACCTATTCTTTAATTAGCTCTATTACCTTCCTATCAAATTTTGGAAAATTATTTTTAAGCCTGATGCTTTGTCTCAATTTTCCCCAAATCAACTCGATGGGATTGAAAACACAAAAATAGGGGGAAGTCTCAGTATGGTGTGTCCATACTTTTCATCAATACTCTCAAGGGCAAGGTCTGTAAAACTTCAAGTAGTTGGTTTTTGGGATAGCAATCTTCAAAATACAAATTGTTATCCATTAAAGAACTTTGTATTCCTAGTTTCTTTACCCAATTCTAAAGAGTTATGTCACAGCAGCTCATGTTATGGCCGGAAGTATTCAATTTCTTCTTTATGATTTCACTTGTAGGAATCTCATTATTTTTGTAACAGTCATATATTGTTTTTTTTCAATGATTTTATTAGATGAACATCTAAAGGTTTTGGTAATCCTGTATCACATCGCGTTTTGCGTTCATAAGGTTGGTTTTTGACTATTTTACGTACAGTTGAGAATAAAATTTCAGTCAAATCTGATGTTGCGAACCGCCAATTCTTAGTCCATGTGGACTATTTAGCAGCCGGTTCATTTCTATGTATTGGTTTGTTTGGCCTTTGAGAGTGCCGGCAACTTTAAGTGTGCACAATACCGTTTACTTCGACTATACAAAAAAGTGCTGTTCTCAATATAAAAATGGAGAAGGAGAGAGAAGTTATCCATCTGATATCTTTTAATATAAATTACCGTTTTGAAAACTAGGCCGATTTCAAAAGTAACTCGTAGGTTACAGTGGAAAAACGATGAGATTCTAATTTTAACAGATTCTGAAGAAAATTGAATTTTTATTCTTTCAAAAAAAATATTTCACCATGAGATTTACGGAAAATAGAAATGTACTTGACAGTTCAATAACCTATTAACAAAAAATCAATAATCTGCATATTGTACACCACTCTTTTTTCGTTTAAAACTTATTGGGAAGATGTAGGTGATATACATGCTCATTGTATGAGAACACAGGTTCAACAAAAATATCAAAATTTCGTTTTTGTGAATAACCAGCTTATGGAACCTAGCGATAAAAAAAGTTCTAGAACATGCAATGGAATGTATTCAATTTATACAATTTTATCACTTACATACAGGGCCGGATTTGAAATTTTGGGGGCCCCGGGGGCAACGAAAGAGTACATACCCCTAATATAAATTATTTTTCAGATTTTTTTACTTATTTCATTTCTCGACCAAATAAAAAATTGATAGTACATGGAAACTTGTAATCGCGAACTTCTGATATAAGTAATCTTAGTAAAAATGCAAAAAAAATGTTTGGCAGGCAAAACGTAAAAGTTGCTGACCCGTCAAAATTTGGATATTTTTTATCTTTATTGTGGAGGCTCCGGGACGGAAGCCCGGCCTGCCCACCTCTAAATATAAATTTTACAGATGATGCGAATCACGTGACTACATTTTCTTCGCTTATTTTTCATCTCGACCGCAACAGAGAAAGACGGTGAAGTCAAATTTCGAATAAAGCTATTCATAACAAAAACTTCCATATAACGCAGACTTTACTGGTCGCACTGTATTTGTAATCGTGTAATCTTTTACACGAAGCTACAGGACACACTTCCATTATGCATCTCGAATGTTTATCTGTGCGATGAATGAGCCTTTTAGATGAGCTGAGGATTGACAGAAAATGAGACCAGCGCATTGCTGAAAGAGCTAAAGGCTATCCCAAAGATCGAGATTGAGAAGTGTTCCGAGGACTAGAAGAAGCGCTAGCACCAGTGCATGATATTTAATGGAGACTATTTTGAAGGCGACAACATAATTGTAGACGAATGAATAAATATGTCTCTCAAAAAATAAATATTCCCATTATTTTTTAACATACTCATATTATGTGTATTGATTACAATTCAATTGATTACAGTTCTGTTCACCTGCTTTTGTATTTTTTCTAATCAATTTTCTACAGGAGCCTAATACCGCTGTTATATTATGAGTTAGGTTAGGTTATGTTTATGTCCAAAGTAGGGTCTATCCCAACCTCTAATACAACTGCGATGATTTATTTACTCACACTGAGAGTAGGAGTATAATATACATATTGACTTTTCCAGCTTTCCCAAATCTCAGAAACACCTGGTAACGGTCTCAAATCAGTCTCGACTGGCAACTGGGGCTGCGGTTCTTCCAGAAAAGGTGACGTCCAACTCAAAGTAATTATCCAGTGGCTGGCTGCCAGTGTAGCAGGGGTGCCATCCTTGATCTACTACACCTACGGTCATCAACAACTGGCCAAACTAGACACGGTGTGCCGAATCCTGATCGACAGGAAGTGGACGGTAAAAGACTTGGCTCAAGCGGCTCTCAGGTATTCGAAGAACGTGTTGCGCGGCAAAGAGTTGAGCGGAACCCTGTTCGAAGAACTGATTGGCGTCGATAGGACAGTGTAGGGGATCAAAAAGTGTACACTTTCACAGCTGGAGATAACTGTGACAGAGCTATTTTTCGGGTTTGTTGTCCGTGGTCTGCAGGGTTTTATGCCTGACGTTTCTTCTACGACTGCAGTAGATATTATCAAAGGCAGTGAGGTAACATACATAGTACTTTAGTTGTCCTCATACCACGTACTACATTGTTCAAGGTTGCCAGGCCGTTTTTATTGTATTGCTATCGGGCGTAGCTTTGTTTCTATTGGTTAAATTAAATACCCGATACGTGTGCCATTTATTGCAAGTAGTCAGATTTTATTTGAAAATTATTTCTCTGTTTTCGAATTCTACCGTCTCCTTATGTAGTCTTGGATAGTAGTTCTATCAAGCACTTTGGATAAACGCAAAAACGTTGGTGCCTTAACGAAAACCTTCCGAATCTAAGATCAGTTAAGGATCCCAGAGAGTCTTTAGCAACCTAAGATCCCTTGTAGCTAAGGAATGTTCTATATTGAAAATATGAAGAGAAATCTAAGTAGCAGGCTCTCTGAACATAAGAGAAACTGTCAGCTGACGTTTCACTTCATGCATTTCTAAGTAGGCACTATCACACTATCCAGCATTTAAACAGGCATTCAGTGACGCAAATAAAAAAAAACAGTATCAGTCTTCAGTCATCACCTGGAATATAAAAATGCACCTGTAATTGTTCAGAATGGAGGAACGTTAAATCGGTCTGTTTATGTTAACAGCTTCAATCAATATTTTAAATAAGTGACTGACCGTACTAGTAATCTACCTGTAGATATGTTTTTCCGCATACTCTCTGAATGGAATGCTTTAGAAATCATAAATCGATTGAAGAATTCCAGATCCTGTGGTGATGACGAAATATCTGATGTTCTTATCAAACAAACTTCTTCATGCATTATCAAACCTTTGAAGTTTTTTAGAAATATTTCTTCAGAACATGGTATTTTTCCTGACAGATTAAAACATCAAACGTCATTCTCTTATTCAAATAAGGTAATTCAACAAATATATCCAAATACAGAGCCATAATGTTATGCACTAGTATATATAAAGTGTTCGAATCAGCTGTAATGGAACTACTTTCATTCTTGAATAAAAATGCAACATTTTCAGTAAATTAACATAGTTTCACAAAAAGTATCAGCTTTGGGTGGGTCCAAGGTGGTTCTTGGGCTATTCTAAAGCTTTTGTCAGTGTTAACCATCAAATTCTGCTACATGAATTATCGAGATATACTATTAGAGGTATAGTCAATGATTGGTTTGATTCATATTCTTCCGATCTGTCGTCACTAGTGGTGTATCCTAAGGGTCCATTTTAGGTCCTACTTTGTTCATTGCTCTTATCAATGATTTAATTCACGCCATTGGTAGAAACAATGACTTCTATATAATAGCTTTATATGCTGATGATATCATCATCCTGTTCACACATAATAATTATGACAGCTGTGCTCTTCTCACTGAATAAGTTTATGCCAAAGTTAACCATTATGCAATTCAGTCTGTCAAGACTCTCAGAAATAACCATTTCTTTAAATAAAACAATCCTTGAATATCAAGTACAATAAAAAATGAATGGGTTGGTATTTGATTGTAACCTCAAATAGGCCAAACAAAATGAGTTTTTTGCACTAAACTGCTGGAACGATGTATGCTTTAAAAACTTTACTTCGGAGAAATGGGTATCTTGAAATTAATATCAGTGTACATTAGAAGATTTCTTGTACTTTTTTGAAAAAATAAATCAGTTTTCAACCAGATTTGTGAAGATCATTAGTACGCCACAAGACAAAACACTCTTATTGCCGAGTAAGCACGGTAGAACTTTATACCTAAAAGTTTATTTTATACTGGTTGCAAAATACAGAATTAGGAATACCTACTGCAAGCCTTGTGTGGGTCATTTTTTTAAGGCGTGTTTCATTGTATTTGACACTTTTTTGTGAACATTCCAACTTGATGTTTTAATAAAATGAAGGAACTACTACTACTACCGACAAATCAGCAATAACGAAATATCTTCCAACAGAAGGATCCACATTATTGTGTTTGTAGAGGCTCAAGTGTGTGATAGAATTCAGAGCTACTATCCATGACTATACAGGATAGTAATAACATTGCTATATTTCAAACTATAACGAATATTTGTTGTTATATCATTATAGTATATCCCAAACATAATAAAACTATTTTTTAATATTTTTTTAAATTTTCTGAAATAACTTTTCAGAAACGAAGGGAGAAAGTCCTTGTGAATTTCTTTTGACCATTGTACTGTTCCCCACAATAGTTACCTATTTCTCATGTTATCACAAGATAAAAGGGATGACATGTATAGGGATGAAAATTAAAACAATTTCAACTGAAAGGAAGATGGAATCAACAAAGTGTGGCTACTTGCATTAAATTGCACACATATTAGGTGAAACTAGCGTAAATTAATCCAAAACAAGAACTTTTTCCAATCACTCAAATTGCAATACTCGTTAAACGCGCGTTGATAAGAGTATTGAATTTCTGGTGATTGGAAAAAGTGCTTGTTTTGGACGTATCAGGCCCATTATCAGTGGAGTAAAAACAGAAATCGACACCAAAGAAGTATCCGCTGTGAGTGAAACTAGAGTAAACGTCCACTGTCTCAGATAATGTCTACCGCAGTTATAGAAACGTCTGATATACAAACCTGCAGACCAAGGCCAACAAAACCGGAAAATAGCTTCAACACAGCATAGGGGATGATCTGTTGGGAGAAATTTCACATATAAAATGACTTTATGATCAAGTAGTCAACAGAGAAATGTGTTCCGCTACTTTCAGAAAAAAAGATTTCTGAATCTGAATGGTTTTATCGCTTTAGCCTTTTATACATTGTGCACAGAAATCTATTTTCATATATTGAAGTATTAAACAACTAAGTGTTTTGCATTTTTGTAACTCGGTAAGGTAATTTTTTAACTGACAATTTGTTCTCACACTGGTTGAAAATAGACTGAAAAGTGGAATTGAATGTGCCAAAAAGCACACTTTTTACGAAGTGTGTGATGTGATCTAACAACTATGAAAAAAAATACTCTGTGGCCGTTCAGTGCCTACATACTTTTTTAGATTTGTAGTATATGAACAATTTTTCGGATTGATAAAACCAACAAACTGAATTACAAATCTGAAGATTTGATACAATATACTCATGAATAACTTCTTTAGTATCTGAAAATATAACTCGTTGATTATTCAAGCATGTATCGCACCAAAAAATTCTCGTGGAAATCTTATGCCCTCATAAGACACATGGGTTTTTAATTTTTTCAAATTTCACAAAACTTTATCGTTTCGTGAATGTTGAATTTTCATAGCAAGCAATCTAATAATTTTATTTTATGTTGAGTTATGATGATATGTGAGGGGCATCCACCTCTAACGATGATGGAATTCGACAAAAATTTTTTCAGATGAATATTTGTTTACAGTTCAAACAAGGAATTCAAAAAATGGAATTTAATCATCAGAAGGTTGTGGCTTATATCAGCTGTTCACAAAATGAAAATCTGTTTGAGATATTTGAAAGCCAGTTTCTTAAAAGTCAGATTAGTTTTCTGACTACTACTGGAATACCAGACTATTCATACGTGGATATAGAGAAATCTGATGTACACAGTTACTGTGTGACAACTCTGAAAAAATTACTGTTGCAGCTTTGGACAAACTTTGTATTATTGCCTCCTCGGCGGATAATACTGTCACTGTGGAGGCAGAGGCAAAGGGGTAACAGCCGTAATTATAAACTACATTCATTCAGACTAGGACAGGACCCCGAGAATGGGTCTCAAAACGATTCATTCAGAGATGACATGCCATGTGATTTGGCTCCAGCCACTAGTCCCGAGGATAACTCAACCAAAAAAGATCTTTATCCGCTACTTTTGCCACTTCCGTTGGCCTTCATGTTATTGATTTTTTCTGTTTGAGATATTTGAAAGCTAGTTTCTTAAAAGTCAGATTAGTTTTCTGACTACTACTGGAATACCAGACTATTCATACGTGTATATAGAGAAATCTGATGTACACAGTTACTGTGTGGCAACTCTGAAAAAATTACTGTTGCAGCTTTGGACAAACTTTGTACAATTGCCTCCTCGGCGGCACTGTGGAGGCAGAGGCAAAGGGGTAACAGCCGTAATTATAAACTACATTCATTCAGACTAGGACAGGACCCCGAGAATGTGTCCCAAAACGATTTATTCAGAGATGACATGCCATGTGGTATGGCTCCAGCCACTAGTCCCGAGGATAACTCAACCAAAAAAGATCTTTATCCGCTACTTTTGCCACATCCGTTGGCCTTCATGTTATTGATTTTTTCATTAGTTGGGCGGTAATTAACTGTCCCATAATACTTTCATATAATTCTGGGATTGTCCCTTGGGACAGTAACCATTTGGATAAGCGTGAGTGGTTCGTTGTTCTTGACCGCTATATAGAATAGTGGTTCGAGCCCTAAAGCTAGGCGCAAATTGGAAGCGTGTGGGGTGACGCAGCACAGCACGATCTTCTTTACCCATGAAAACCAATAGAACAGCGCAAGTTGGCACCCGGGCACGAGGTGGCGCTACCAGCGTGACTCGCGTGGCACAGTGGTTGTGACAGTTTTTTATGCCAGTTCTTTCGCGTGTCGCCAAAGGTTTTGTATTGCCCAACATTGCGTTTTTAAGGTTTTTTGTTGTTTTTAAATTGACAGTTATGGTTGATGAAATGTTAACTGAGGCTGTGAGGGCATACAAATAGTTGTATGATCCCAGCGATCTCTGTTATCATAAACTGTCCACATTTTTCCCTTTCCAAGGGAAAATTCTTGTTGGGTGATTTGGCTTCATTATTAACGAGCAAACAAGGAAATAAAAGTTAGTCTTCAGCATCATTGTCGGATTCTGATTCCGAACTCAATAAAAGCAATGATTTTTCAGCTCGGTCGGACATAGCGGTACGATTGTCGCTTCGAAACTGCGTTCAATTTGCGTTCAATTAGCTCAAGGTATGATGATCAATTTTCATTGCGTATCGTCCAACTCTTGCTAGAAATCAGATGTTGAAAGATAAGACTTTGTTAATTCTTAGCTCGCATCATTTCCAGATGACAACATTTCGAACACTGAATATCCGCGTGTGTAGATTATGTCGCTTCAAATGTGTAAACTTCAGGTCCAAACACACAAAATTTTGTCATTTGCAACTGTGGAAAGGAAATAATATCTGCATTTGGATATGAATATTTTCTCTTTTTTTTATGGATCATTTGCTTGTAAGTATAAGCTAATCATTGTTCACATTGAATGAAACATTTTTTTTTACTCTTCATATTTCATTCTGAGCATCAGGACTTTTTAGTTTCTGATAAAAATGCTCCAGAACACGGTGACTAAATTTTTCAATCATGATTTCAATGAATCCTGTATTTTAAATAAAATATAGTCATGTAGAAAACTGACTACAAAGAGTTAAANGAAAAAAACGAGTCAATTAAATTAGTTACAGATGATAGAACTATCACTGACCTTCAAGAGGTGGCAAATATGTTCAACAGGTATTTTACTAGCATAGGTCAATCAATTATTTCCAATATAGATATTAATATAGAAAGTGTGGATTTTGAGGAACTATTGTGTGGCAACTCAATATTCCTAAAGGAAACCAATACTAAAGAGGTATCTGAAATCATAGTTGCACTCAATAAAAACTCTGCAGCAGGGCACGACAACATATCCGTTAAAGACATAATTGAAAAAAATGTCATTTCCATACTCGTTAATTTGATAAACGATATTTCCAAAGCGGGGGTATTTCCTGAGATACTGAAGACTGAAAAAGTAATACCAATATTTAAGGGTGATGATAACAAAAACTTATAGACCTATAACAATTGTGTGCTCATTCTCTGAAATTATTGGAACTATAATAAAAGACAACAGTACCACAGGGATCCGTTTTGGGACCCCTGTTGTATACACTGATGGTACTGTCACTGAGGCAGGCCGGGTTTAGGGGAAGGTATTTCACGTTCGCCGATGGTACGGTCCTTTTGTACAGTGGATATTATTTACATTTACATGATAAACTTAAGGCGAACTCTGCAAAAACCGTTTACATGCTATTTGAACAAAAAAAAAGAATTTTTGGAAATATTGAATTAAGAATAAATAACTTACCCTTAATGAATGTTGCAAAAACCAATTATTTGGGACTCATAATAGATGATAAGTAAAACTAGTCAGGACACATAGAACATTAATGATAAAATTGTACCAATGTTAGGAGCTCTATATAGGTGTTCCAGTTACTTGAGCTTCAGTAATAGATACTTGGTTTACAATGTTTACAATGTTGATAGGGCCTATTATTCAGTTCAGGAGTATCTATCTATCTATCTTGACGATTCTCTTGAATCTTAACTTTTATTTCTATGTCTTGTTATTTCCAGCTGGATATCTCAGTGTATTTCACATTTTTAGCTTTGTTTATTGTATTTTGTTTAAATTGTGTATGTTTTTTATGTAGATTTTTGTATCTTACATATTATTTATGACTTTGTCTATAAGATGTAGTTCTTCAGACAATAAAGTATATTTGATTGATTGAAATTTTTGTATCTTACATATTATTTATGACTTTGTCTACAAGATGTAGTTCTTCAGACAATAAAGTATATTTGATTGATTGAACACAAGTCAATTAACTGAATCGTTTGCCATCAACAACAGGCAGCCTATGGCACAGCGAATAAGCCTCTCTCAGTATTTCGTGATTTCTGGGCAGCTGTCCGTCCTGCACCGCCTTCATGTACTCCAGAACTAGTTTAACTCGAGAATGCAGCATCTTGATGGCGCTGTACTGGGCCGTCAGATGTTCGGCCACTAAGGAACTTTCTCCGGAATCGGTGGACGACATTCTGGCAACATGATCAACGCCGATGCGTTCGGCTTCTTCTGTCGCTAAGGTGTAGGTCAAAGGTACGAATAACATGGTTGCTTCGCCACTCACGAGGTCTATCACAGATTCGTATAAGTTGACGGGTAGGTGCTGAAAGGGATTTTTTGTTTATAGTACAGGTTTCAATATAAATTGAACGAGTGAAAATGGTTCTTCAAAATGGTAAAGTGATCAAAACGACTGGCAGTTTATGAGTTATCAAAAAAGAGCAGAGTTATAACACAACATCATAGTTTGTTTCAAAGTGGCTCACAATATTTCTTGGTGAATGTTATTGGTTGTTTCAAAAGTTCTGTCCGTTTCATTGTCATGGGTTTTGCTATCTCCATATCTCTATAATCAATCAATCAATCAATCAATCAAAATATACTTTATTGTCGAAAAAACTCTTGTTTTGTTGACAAAGTAAAATATACACGCACAGAAATAAAATTTAGGAGTCTTCCAAAGAAAGGAAGGAAGTAACTCTATACATGGGTGTGTAGATCGTACAAAGAAGTAACTTTCAGACACAAACTGAAAGAAAGTCCTCCTGAAACAGCTACTTTCATATAAACATTGAATTATACGCAAGAAAAAATTCTTTTGAAACAAATACTTATATATGAACACTGAATATATGTTCACAGTTTCAACTATTTAGCATGTTTAGTTTGTAGGTGAGAGGCATAAAAGTAGAAGTGTTTTTCGTATTGAGCGGTTGATCAAATAATTTGAATACAACGTTGTGTAAAAAATGTAATTGAGTGCTCAAAAAACTTGAAAGGTTGACAGTGGCATACGGTAATTGTACTCCGACTCGAAATAATGTTCACAAGTGGTACCAGCGTTTCACAGGTCGAGAAGGTATGAATGACGACGCTCGCCCTGACGTCAATGGTGATCCAGATTTGTTAAAATGATCATGACTAGTGACGAATCATGGGTATATAGTCATGACATTGAAACCAAAGTTCATACGCCCCAATGGAAGAGTTCAGAAAAGCCAAGACCAAAAGAAGCACGCCAAGTTCGATCAAATGTAATGGTTTTGTTCTCTGCTCTCTTCGGTAAGAAACTAGGAACTCAGCCATAATGTTCCTGAGCATTACTTTAGATGATGATTTTGATTAGCATTATAAAATCACCAAAATCACCAGTATATTCGAAAGAAATAACCAAAAAAATGAATTCAAATGTCGTTGATTCACAGTGTCCAAGTAATTTCTATTTTGTCAAAGTCCAATCTGTACTTCTGTATGGTATTTTATTGTGGGAAAATTCTTATTCTGCACAGAAGATATTTTTGGTTCAGAAAAAAGCATTAGGAATATGTCACCAAGACTTACTTATAAATCTATATTTGAAGAGATGGATATTCTACCTTTGGCCTGCCTGTACATAATGGAAGATGTCTATTGAATTATTGAGATCAAAAGCAATCTGTCCAGACATGTAGATATTCATGAATATAAAACTCAACTTTTAGATTTATTTTGTGTTGTGACAATTTCTATACTTTTAAATGAATGATAAATTGGAATTTGAAAGAAATTTGTTGATATAACCTAAAGGCAAGCATAACATATCATTCATTATATGGCCATTATATTGCGAATATTTTGAAAAAAGATTCGTTTGTGAAGGATATTCCGAATTAGAGTAATATATTGATAGCTAGAAAGAGAAAGATAATTTCTTTCAAGATTCCTCATTGTTAAATCTAAGCTTTTTTTTTTAAAATTTTGGAATCATGAACAATAAATTCTGACTGTGAATTTATGATCACAAAGAATCAATTGAAAAAAAAATTATCAGTAACAAAAACTGCTTCAAACTATATTTCCAAAATTCAGAAAAATTATTAGACTGTATTTCAGCAACACTTTTTATTTCAGTTATGATTTCTGTTTTTTTCATTTTGTTTATATTCATCACTTGTGTAACGTATCATATCGAATAAGGATTTCATTTGGAGCAGAAGTATTTTTTCTAGTTACGGCTACGGAATATACAAATGACATTTGTATATTCCGTGTTTGATTTATATGCTGTTTCCATTGTATTCATTTTCTATTAAGTTTTCTCAATATTTAGTTGAAATAATGTCGTGAACCAATCATATAACATCTAATACGAGGGTTGTCTTTTATGTTTCGGGATTTGGCAACCCTACTGTTGCAATCTGGCAACTGACAGCTCTATCGTAAAGTTGGACATTTTTGGGCTTATACCTACTCAGAACGTTTTGACATACACGCGCTATTTGTGTTGTTTAAGGTAACTTAGAGTTATCTCGGCCCAAAAATGGAATCAAATCGTGAACATCGTGAACTTTCGACGTGGATTAAGTCAGCAACAGTGCTTGGATTAACTTAATTCAATTTATGGCGATGAAGCTCCATCAAGGACCAATATTTATCGAAGGTATGGTGAATTCAATCGTGGTCGTCGATCACTCCATGACGAATTTTGTGAAGGTCGTCCAAAATCAGGTGTTGTTCCGAAAACTATTGATGCTGTGTGCGAACTGATATTGCAAGATTGTCATGTGACCTATCGTGAGATTAAGACAACCTTAGGCATTAGTGGGACCAGCATACCTTCAATATTGCATAAACATTTGATTGTCAAAAAAATTTGTTAGCCTTGGATGCCACACAATTTGTCAATCGCTCAAAAAAAAGCTTGTGTCGATTGGTCGAAGGAAATGCTCAAAAAATACGATCGCGGTGCTTCGAAACACGTCTATGACATCGTGACAGGTGATGAATCGTGGATTTACACGAATGAGTCTGAAAATAAACAGCAGTCGACTGTATGGGTGTTTCAACGTGAGCCAAATCCAACAAAAGTTATTCGCGCATGTAGCACTTCCAAGCAAATGGTCGCCTGTTTTTTCGAAAAAACTGGACATGTCACAACTGTACCAACAGTCAATTCTTGAGTGGTACACAACCATTTGTTTGCCAGTTGTCTTCCAAGAAATCAGGAAAACCAACCGCCGAAGATGCATCACTCTTTACCACGACAATGCGAGCTCTCGCACACTGACTCAAACAACTGCATTTTTGAGCACCCACAACATCGATTTGATGAGTCATCCGCCGTATAGTCCTGACTTGGCACCAAATGACTTTTTTTTATTCCCGCACGTAAAAAACAAACTGAGAGGTCAACGTTTTTCGACACCTGAAGAAGCGGTTGCTGCATTCAGAATGCATGTTTTGGAGATACCTCAATCAGAGTGGCAAAAGTGTTTCGACAATTGGTTCAAACGCATGCAAAAATGTATAGATCTACAACAGTGAATCCAGTTTCACTTCAGAAGATAATGCCCCTCATCCTCTTTCCCAGCCCTTGCCTATCGTAAAGTATGTTGAACTTGTTGACAAATTGATTGAGATCGTTGCATCCCTTAGTGAGCGCTCCAAGGTAAGTCATCAAGCCGACATCATTGCATTGCTGAAATAATAGATAGATATGAGATTGATTATAGTATATTATTCAAGGTGCGAAAAATTTGACCATCACTCGTGAGAATTGTAGAAGATTTCGGCAGTGAATTAGCTAGCCAGTATCAAGACTGTCTAAACTTACCAAGCTTACAAAAAATTCATGCTTGATCGTCGACTTATTCCTTTCATTGAAAGATACCTATTAATACTTAACAACAGCTTTTCAAAAGTAGAGATCCACCAAAACTGGTACTGGAAATTTTTATAACGACATACTGTCAGAAACACAGTACATTTCTTTTATGCCCGGGTCAACTCAAAAAACTGAAATTTGGGATAATGGAATCAAATGCATGAAAACTTTATTTTGAAGTGAAATTGACAGATGAAAGTGTCAAGATGGCGACTGGGCGCCATCAGGGAAAAAAATTAAATGGAAAGAGGGGTCTTGTGACACATCTTTTTGAAGCTCCTGACAAATGCTTCACAGACCTAGAATATAATGTCAATATCTTCAACTACTACAAAATGGCGGAACTTTAAATAATTGCCTGAATACATTGACATTTAACTACATAATATGAGGTAATAAGCTTGAGGTCAGTTCAGAAGATGCTCAAAATGATTGCCTTGAACTTCTTGACATATGAAGAGCCTATACGATATTTCACGCCGAACATTTTCGAACACAGTAACGTCAATATCTCTACAAGTATTTATTATTCTCGGCCGTATATCCAATATTGAAGTAGGTTCAGTATAGTACACTTTTCGCTTCAAATAGCCCCATAAAAAAAGTCAAAAGGTGTCAAATCTAGCAAGAGGGCTGGCCATTCTGTAAGACCTCGATGGCCAATCCAATGACCGGCAAAAGTAGCATCCAACTAGTTTCTTACTTGTCTGGAGTAATGTGATGGTGCTCCATCTTGTTGGAATACAATATCCATATCGAATTCATTAGGATTCGCTTCGACGATTTTAGTGATGAGAGGGACAACAGTAGTTTCCAGCATATTCAAATACAGTTCTCCTGTTAAATTTTGATTAGTAAATAAAGGTCCTACAATATGGTTTTCCAAAATACCTGCCCAAACGTTACTATTTAAGACAACTTTGTATTCATGTCACAATCCCCCCAACTTCTGAAAAACCTTTTCATCTTAAAACCAAATCACTCACATTATAGAAGTCTTGTCTGAATCGTTTGCCATCAACAACAGGCAGCCTATGGCACAGCGAATAAGCCTCTCTCAGTATTTCGTGATTTCTGGGCAGCTGTCCGTCCTGCACCGCCTTCATGTACTCCAGAACTAGTTTAACTCGAGAATGCAGCATCTTGATGGCGCTGTACTGGGCCGTCAGATGTTCGGCCACTAAGGAACTTTCTCCGGAATCGGTGGACGACATTCTGGCAACATGATCAACGCCGATGCGTTCGGCTTCTTCTGTCGCTAAGGTGTAGGTCAAAGGTACGAATAACATGGTTGCTTCGCCACTCACGAGGTCTATCACAGATTCGTATAAGTTGACGGGTAGGTGCTGAAAGGGATTTTTTGTTTATAGTACAGGTTTCAATATAAATTGAACGAGTGAAAATGGTTCTTCAAAATGGTAAAGTGATCAAAACGACTGGCAGTTTATGAGTTATCANCTAGAATGATTTTACTCTACAAATTGGTGCTGCTAATTTATTTCCTCTGTTGTTTTGCCTCTTTCCGGCTTATTACTATATGATGTCTTCAACTGATTTTCGACTAATTTTTCTCTACTAATTCGAATTGAACCAAAACGCTGCCGAAACAGCCAAAATTTTTACCAGACATATGGCAATGATAGTGTTGATTAATGCACTGTTTGGTTTGCGAAATTGCGTTCAGGAGATTTTAGCCTCAAAGATGAGCCCCGAAGTGGGACACTGATCAACGGAAGAGGTCGGTGCATCCCCTAAAACTAAACATGCACCAACAAAATACAATAAAACACACATTATTTTGGAGAATTATTTTGAACAAGAAAATCACCAGAAAATCAACGAGTTTGTTACGAAATACCTATTTTATTTTGATGTTTTGTGATTTGATATTATTGAATATCAAGTTCTTGTTGTTCAACTCTTTATTTTCTGTACATAATCAACATTTCAATTTACACACAATAAATAATTTGTTTTCTTTACACAAATTTTGTTAATTTGTTTGGCAGCATTTATGTTTTTTATTTTTTTGTATTTTCAATAATTTCAAAATTTCATTCAATTTTATCAATTCATTTTTTCATAGATTTTGAACCTGCAATTATTCTTACTGAAGGTGAAAATATGGACATCAGTGGCGAGTCCAAAAAGGAAAGAAGGAGAAAGTCTGAGCTCCATTTTTTTTTAAGATAGGCTGCCCTCCATAGTTTTTTGCTAAGTAGTCCATGTGAAAGTTCCAAGTTAGGGATGATTAAAGCATTACTCTAAGAAGTTTCACAACTTCCGACATCTCCATGTCATAATTTCTAAGAGAAAAATCATAGTCAGTTTTAACGTATTCAAAAAACATTTTATTGTGAGATTTTCACTAAAGAATTTCACAAAAACTTTACTAGAGTAAAGACACACATGAAAAAGCCATTGTTTGGCGAAACAAGTTTTGTTTTTTTGTTAAGTTTTTTAGTGAAAATCTCATAATAAAGCGTTTTTTGAATACGTTAGTTGGATTTTCATTAAGTAATGGCCAATTCCATCATATAGTCAGTTTCAGTTATTTGAAGCTGAATCAATCATCAACCTTCAACTGTGCCTCTCTCATTTTGTCCTCTAATTTAATTATGGAGAAATTTGTTTCAATCAAGATGGTATCATTAGCATAGATGACTACCTCAGTGCTAGGCAGATAAGTCAATGATGTAGATTAAGAACAGTAACGGATCCACTACCGAGTCCTGACGAACCCCATACTTCACTGCCGATAAATCAGAATATTGTTTATTGGAGTACATAACTTGCTTTCTGTCACACAGGTAAGAAGTTATTAGCTGAAATAGCTTTTCATCAAATTCTTACTGATCTCAGTTTTGATAAGATGATAATTATTAGAATAAATCTCACCTCAATATTTTTATCATAGGGATTTAGCTTGAGCATTATTGGAGATTCTATAATGTCACTAATTTGCTTATGTACTTTCACATCACTAATATTGGGGGTATCTCCTGTTGTATACCAACCTAGGAAGTCCATTTCACTAAATACCTGTTTGACTGAAACAGAAGCATTACACACAATTTATTTCTACTGTGAAAAAATATAACCTACATTGCTCTTCTTTCATATTGTAGTAATCTTTGTCGATGACTATGTCGCTACCTATAACGCTGAACACCAGTTCAAAAGAGTTCATAACTTCAATATTTCTTCCCTTCTGTTTGCCAATGATGGCTCCAATGACTGAAAATAACAGATGAATGAATACACTGCCACAGAGAGACAGTACTTTATAGCGGGGGTACTTATGCCACCAAGGTTACCAAGACCAATTTGCTGATTTACGTTCTCAATCTGAAATTGGTAATATTGAGTAGTTTTCCTGGTTCTCAAGGCATTTCTGAGGTTAAATGTATCACGATGATTTAGATGACTCATGTGTATGTTTATTATACCCAGAAACATTGCATATTTATAAATGTACGGTTTAAGTATAGTTAAACATCAACTTGAAATAACTTTCAATGTCAACAAGTATATGAATTTGAATGTCGATTCACTGTATTTATTTCTAAGGGAAATTTAAAGTGGCCTAAGTAGTCCCATTTTACTTGATATTCAGTTTACCTTGCTGAACAGATCCCTCTTGGGCTCTCTCCCTGGTCCAATGTTCAGATATATTCATTATAACTAGAGGATGCAATGAGCAGGTAATGGAACCAACTGCCCCAGGTGCCATAACATTTTTGGTCACGTCTGTTGAAGTGTCCATGGACGATTTCGAACTTTCTGCAGTTGAAGCTCCTTCCATTTCAACCTCCATCACGTTGGCGTTACTCATTTTTCAACTTTTTGCAAAATCAGTCCAGAATCTTTTCAAGAATTATTATTATAATCACAACTTCGAAGTTGTGACCAATGTTTTGACTTAAAAAATAAAACCTCTTTCTTCTTCTTTTTACTTTTACTCTGAGCTTTTACTCCAAGCTTCCAAGTTTGGTGCCAATATTAACAGTACCGTTTTTATTACAGAGTTGCCTGTCTTAAAAACTGCCCTTTTTCCCTTTATTATATTCTTAATGACTGGAATTTGGAAGTCTAGGAATTTTCTCGCTTTAGGGCAGCTGTGAAGCATCAACCCAGAATGTTTTGTTTTTCTGATTGCCAATATCTTTGATTTGTTACATTGGAAATTTTATTTTTTTCGTTCATTTTTCCTCATCTGTTTAGTATAATTTTCGTTCATTAATGCAAGAGACAGATTGAGGCAAAAAAATTAATCATTTCTGAGAACTTGGTGGCTATAGTATTTTGAAATTATAGTATAGAGCAAATTTTCATCTTTGAATGTACTCTAGAATGATGTGACTCTACTTCTCTCTCTCTCATTTTCGGTACTGAACCTCTACGCTATTAGTACTCTTTCAATAACAATTCATTCACCATACGTGACAAGTACTTTTCGAAAAAATTGCAGAAAATTCCATTCGCTCCTCAATGGAATGGAATAATAACAAACCTGAATAAGCATTTATGATGCACTGTTTGGAAATTTTGATGTAGTAATGAATATTACTGGAGTTTTTCCCAATACCAAATCGTTGTTTTTAAGATGATCACTTGGTGATCGAAACACGTGTCGAGGTGTTAAAAATAAAGATTTGGTACCTATTGGGAAAAAACTTCAGTAATATTCACTGAATAAGCATATTGGGGTTAGCAGTTCGGACGACTCTGGGATGACTCAAAATAGTTACACAGCTGATTATTGAGAATGAACTCGCGCAAAACTTCCCAAGTTTCAACCGTTTCCAAGAACTATTCAGACAACGAACCCGAATTCGGATAAAAAATAGTTGTTTTTAACCTGACAATTGAGTGTATTTAAAAATAACTAAGCATTCATGGTTTTCAGGAATCCGCTGCCAAAACTTTCGATTAGTATTGGTTGGCATTCGGTTACATTTGCACCATAACCTCTTAATGTGTTACAATACTTCTGAGAAAAGGGCAGATCAATAAAATATCTATTGCCCTGAAAGATGTAAAGTTTATGGGTTTCGTGATGTAGATTCATTTCAGGTGAGTTCAAGTGAGGTTTAACTATGGGTCCATTCGAAACATAAGCTTGATTCTATTGTTTAGATCAATACATTAGATTTTTTTTGTTGAACTGATGAACTCAAAAAATAGGTCATTCAAGATCAAGTATTTCAAACTAAAAATATCGCACCTGTTGAATATTATATAATAGATGTGTTCGGTTTTCAAACCCGGAAGCCGAGCGAACAGAAACATATTTGATAACATGTGATCACACAGTCAACGGAGAAAAATATATGTAACGAACATTTGTGGTAATATTTGTCATTATAAAACCTCGAACATACGACTGATGACGTTTTTTCTAAAACGGAAATATAATTCAACATTTTTTGCAACCATTCAAGAATGACCAGTGTCAAAGAAGTCATTATCATATCGATAGGAATGTGTCTTGAACTCTCTTTCGAATACAGTGATGTGCTTACAAAAAAGAATAAGAAATTTCACTAAAAGTTTGACTTTTCAAGAAATACCTGAAACTTAAGCAAATTTCTAAAAATATGACAATTGACAACTAAAAAATCTGTCCGATCCTGTCGTTAATCTCGGAGCTATCAATCACATTTTTCTCCTCACACAGATCTGCATTATCGAACGTTCGCCGAGTGAAGTTAAAGCTAGTCGAGCGCTTGGTTTGCAGTAAACGAACATACCTAATAATGAAAATCACTGTTCTCAAAAGAATTAAAAAACTTGAATGACTTAAAAATTCACGTTTTCACCTTTACTTAGCATTTTTCAATTAGGAGGACCTTGGAAAAACATCTACTTAATATTTGGTTGCATTCGGACGACCGCTGAAAGTACCGAACGCAACTTATACAAATTATTTCCTTTGACATGGTGCATAATATAACTGAATCCTAACCGCCAAAGTGAATTCAAATCGCCGGTATGTCATTTTAAACAAATATCTTGTTAAAATATCGTTAGAATAGCCAATGGGATATTACAATATGTATTGAATCGAAAAATAAGCTCGAATATAACTGACATTTTTCACATTTTAGTTATTTCTCTTCAGTTTTCCATGACAAATATGCATTCCAGAACAAAGCAACAACTTGAACAAGCAGAACTTGGTACTGCAGAGGAATGAAATAAAAATTGAATAGCTGAATGGGTGGCCAAACTTCATAGTTGGTAATAAGAATGTCTTTGTACTTCTTCTTCAACTGGAGTTTAATAAAGTCCCAACTGTGCCCTTCGAGAGTATTCATAACAGTGATGAACAGCGCCAAGAAAGTTGGTGCGAAGACGAATTGATCCAAAGCCACCTTTTTGAGAACCACTGATTTTCCAGTATGGCCGATGTATTTTGACAGAGCTCTGTACCATATCGAAATAGTTGGTCCCTGAAAACGAATTGTACTTAATTGTGTGTCTTCTTGGTAAGTGATTTTATTTTTCTTACCACCATAACTGCCCCGATCGCAAAAAACCTAGCTGTCCTCCAGAGATGAACTTGCTTGAAGGACTTTTTTTCTATGATTGTCTGGGCTATTAAGTCTCCTGTTCCCATTAAAGTGCCTGTCTGTACCGCCTGTACCATTACAAAGTGATCGTTCAGTAGTTTTTTATATAGTTTCAATATTCTGCCAGATTTGTTCATTTTGAAATTTGTGACAAAATGTTACGAATTCGAATTACTTTGAGGTTAAGGTTATTACTTCATATATGAAAACAAACTTTTTTATGCAGTTTGACAGAGAGATAAATGTCTGTTATACCGGTGTACGGCACAGTAAAATGATGTGAGGAGAGATTGAAAATACTGTTTTATGAACAATTGAAATGATTATTCCTGACATTTATGGGTTTCACACTTTTCTAAAATCAAAAAGCTTTCCGAAATGAATAAAAATAAAATGTTTTTCATTTAAATGACAACAAATATAACCATACAGAATTTCAGGTTACATTATCAATAAATATTATTACTTATATCATAAAGTAAGAACTTGCTAATTTTAATGACTTAATTAACGGATCCGATATACTGTTCGGGAATTTAACAGTCAAAGTATCGGTCCTTAATTTTGACAATACTTGTAATTTATAAGAATAACCTGACATATGGGATAATAGCCACGTCTAAAAGTAAAACCTAAAACATTTTCCTAAGTTTTGTTATTGTTATAGAAACATCGATTTCATATCAAATGAACCTAGAATAAATTAAAAAAAATATGTAACCATTTGGCAGTGCGAAGTTCTTGTCTGATCATTATCACGGTTGACATATTTGACACTTTTTAGGCATATATTTTTAAGAAGTATTATGTTGTTGGTGTGTGATGTCCCGATTTACCCATTACAAGTTTTTTAAAAGATTTTCTCAGTTCCTGCACGCGCAGAAATCAGTTATTCAAAACCCCGTGCCAATTTTCCGGACAATCCTCATGTCTAACCCCAATAAACTGCTTCTTGGATCTCAAATCTGTAGCGCTACAATTTCCAATGCGAATGAAAATGAAAACGAAAACGAATCAGAAAATGCAGAAAGTGACGCAGTTGAAAGCAGCATCGAAGAAGACCTAGCCAATGCCTTACAACAAGGAGACGCAGCGATTCTAAGACTCATGGAGCAGTTGAAAGACTTTGTGACAGTCGTGAGTCAAGAGTATCGAAATTGCCTTGTCCGTCAGATGGAGATAATACAAAACTCCATGAATTTGGACCCTGAGTCAGGAGTTTGGGACGAGGTACCAAAATTCCGAAGCCTTGCTGATGAGCTGCAAAATGAATTAAATGAGTATATAACTCTTTTCAATACTTTGGGACAAATGGCCACTGAAAAGTCATTAGTGAACTTTGTTGGCGGTAGTAGCGAAAATATAGATGAAGTTGGGGAGAAGTTCAAGGAACTAGAAGTTATTTTCATGAAAGAGATTGAGGAAAATAAAAGAGCAGAGAAGGAGCTTCTTCGGGTCAAACGTGATATGATTTTGAATGAAATTTCAAATTAGACTTTACACCATTTACATCTAATTTTATTAGACCATTCTAGTGTTCAGCAAAACTATCAATAAAGTTTCATCAGTTAGAATGCTTTGAACTTTTCTTGTACCTATATTTTTGCTTGAAAGTTCCAGGTTAAATAACTGATCTAGTTCAATATCTTTTCAAATTGCAGATAAAAGTTTCCTGTTCTAATTTTTTTTATAAAGCTAGTACCGGCACTCAGTAAAATGTGAAAAATCTAATGAGCAGGAAAACTTCATTTTCTGGTCCTAAATTTACTAGAAAATTAATTATGAGGAAGTTATTGCATTTCTGTGCGATCTCTAGATGTATTTAATTGCATCAGTTATGTTATACCATTTCGAAAATATCACTGTTTTAGTTTCAGAAAAAGCTGCCTGAATCAAGCAAGGTTTTGAAACAGAATATCGTGGATGGGTTACCAAACCGACTCCAAGAAGTCATAAGGGTTACAGGCGGCAACACCCATTATTAAATTTTAATTTTTTTAGGAAACCCCACTTTTGCCATCTACCAATTCATATGCCTGGGTATCTATGATCCAACCAATCCCTTACAGGATTATAAAAATGTGGAGGAGCACCATATTTCCGGAAAACAACTGGATTTTCGAATTCATCTTGATTGCTGGCCACGATTTCTTGAATCCGTGGGTGAAAGAGGTTTTTGAAGAATTTCCAAATATAAATCGTCAGTTAGATATTCCTTTAGAATTTCAGAGGCAACAATTTCTATCATGAGGTGCTTCTGTTTGATCCTAGAAAGATCGGGCGCGAAACATGTTTGAAAATTTAAACGATATAAAATGAAGCGAATTGTCAGTATCAATAGTTATAGCCGTCAAGCAAACACAATACTTCCTCTCTTGAAAAGACTTTCCCAATACCAGAACAAAAATTACGGTCTCTCGACGCGCGTTTCGCTAACCAAGTTAGCGTCCACAGGAAATCATTATGACATATGACATAATGATCTTCTGGACGCTAACTTTGTTAGCGAAACGCGCGTCGAGAGAACGTAATTTTTGTTCTGGTGTTGGGAATGTCTTTTCAATAGAATCGTTTAACGCCAGAGGTTCCAGTACGAACTGTCAGACAACACTTCCTGTTAGTAGGGTAATACGGTGTGGATTTTCATCTACATGATCGAAATCCTGAATAGAATTAAAAACAGAAATGCGCTTTCTTGTCAGATAATTTGGTTCAATTTTATTGTGATTATGATTCATTTCCGTGAAGAAATCATTTCTCTTACACGTTAGAAAATTTGTGTAACCTGTGATTATTAACTTTGGAGCTGTTTCAATCCTCTTTTGGTTGCAAAGTTACGAATTATCGTTTTTCCCGGTTTCCAATTCATACAACAGTAACTCCGCAACCGGTTATCCAAATTCGTCGTTGTATAGAGAAGGGTTACAAACCCCCCTTTTCTCTTTGAAAAAGTTGATAGCGCCCTCTTTGCGGTGGATGATGTTACATCATTGGCTTTTTTTGTTAAAAAGTTCTAAAAATGATTACTTTTTATAAACATTATGTCCAATGTTGATATCTTTACCCGTTCAAAACTTAAGAGGGGGGGCATTTACGTCTGCACTGTATGTTGAGAAAAGTATCGGAATCAGACCCGACCCTTGTGGAACAATTCAGATTACTCTAACATTCTAGAAGATTTTCAGTACCCGGTTGTAGTTATTTCAACGACAGAAGTTTTAAGTTTGCACTTTATGTTTCAGAACAACAAACATGAGCTCTCAGAGAGGAAATGCGTCAAGGACGAGGCCTCAGAAGCACCAGAACCGTTCCGCGTTTAAAAACAACCTTCACGACACTAGTAACCGCACCAAACTCATCAACTCGATCCAAGTGAGCGATGTTTGCATGAGATGCAAAGAGATTATTGAGTGGAAGATCAAGTACAAGAAGTACAAGCCACTGACGCAGCCAAAGACGTGCGTCAAGTGCGGACAGAAGGCTGTCAAAAAGGCCTACCATGTCATGTGCAGTGAGTGTGGGAAGAATCTGCGGTGCTGCACGAAATGCTGTCAGGACAAAGAACTCGTGCAGGTCGAGCAGCCGAAAGATGAACAGGTATGATTTGTTTTTGCTTTTTATGACATTCAAATTTCTATAATCTGAAAAATAAACAAAGCCTAATCAGTAAAAAACCTGTTGAAGTGTAATAAACGGCTTACCAAAAAGTTCGTCCTGAAAAGTTACCACTGAAGAGTAAGTACACTTAGTAACTGATTATTCAATTTGTAGGCAAAATTTATTAATGCAATTTACTGACAATAGAAGAACTGAAATAAAGGAAGACAGCCATTTCGGATAAATATTTTGGTTAATTCCTTGAAATTTGCATACTCGTAGTAGAAAACAAACTGATTCGCGAATTAAGAACTATATCTAACTAACTCTATCCAATTCAGCCTATCGCAGATGTCTCCTGCTGTCATTGCATCTTTTGATGAGATGAAAGGGATAGCACTTTAGCCGGATATCGATAATATTTGACCAATCTCGCAGCCAGATAGCCGGATAATATCCGGTGAAACGTTACCATTTGGTGCATCGTGAAAAGCAAGCTTGCGTTGACGGCATGCTAATGACAAGGCGGTCGAATTCGGATCTCTTCGTTGATAAGCGAAGTTAACAATGGTTTCATTCAATGACTCATTGTATTGATTGCAGTGCATCTATCTTTCAGCACCTTGCAGCAGTGAGTATAGCGAAGACTTTCATCTGAAACTGGCCTTATTTACGAAGACAAACGAAACCGCTTGCTACATGCAGAGGAATTAGTATTCATTCACCATAATTTGCCAATAGTGCAGTATGAGTACTAGTTGGTTTTCTAAGTAATAGAATTATTTCGTGAATACTGATTGTATTTTTCAAGTGATACTAACTAAATAAAACAATTAATTATCTTAAAATATATTTTTTAAGACCGGTATTTGGCTGGAAAGGCGCTAGTTATCCGGTATTTGGCTGGATAGTAGTTAGGCTGTTACCTTATATCCGTTTCATCTGAACTTTTGATATCCCCATATTTAAATATGGATATATGGGAATAGGGGAATATAGGGCCCGTGGGCTGGGCTACCTATCGGGCGCGTCCCCAGGTGTGTGGGAAGCCAATGTGGCCTTACGGACGAGGTCGCCGGACTCCTGGTCAGTGGCAGAAATAAGTAGGGTGAGGGGAACTAGCCCCCAAAAGCCTTTACAATACATGCCACCGTGGACCAGCCTACCCAAGCTAAGGTGTAAGGAATCGTGCCGACAGCTGAATAGCCGCAGGGTGATATGCGATCACGAACGATCCCCTTGGGGAACTGGGCGAAACCTAATTGTAATCAGCCACCTCTGCCAGAGGTGACCAACTCTTCCCTTGCTACTCGTGGGGACACACATGAATGAAACAACACAAAAACAGAAACAACAAAAACCAATCCCGAGGCTGAACAGAAGTGCTCACTTCAATCTAAGGCGGTGGTTGGGGATGAACAGAAATGACTACCCTAATCTATCGCTTGGAATGAGGCTGGACATAGCAGATCACCTTCAACTGCAAGGGCACTTCCTGCGGCGGGCGCCAAGAGCTCCGCCTTGAATAAAAGCAAGGAACTGGCTGCCCCTGCAGAAAAGCTCCCTCACTTGTGCACCTCCACGGAGGGAACCACAAGAAGGTTGAAGAAGCCGCGCAACGACAGTAATATCGCCAATGGGTCATATGTGTCCTAAGTGCTGTGAGTCTACACTCACCCTCCCTATTCTACAGATACCAGAAGAGATGGGAATATAGGGATACAGATTTCTTACTAACGAATTATTGAATCAACTTGATTTTTATTTATCAATATTAGTCTCAATCATCACATACATTAGAAAAATATGTTTTAGCCAAGATTAGATGCCGAACTGAAAGCACTGCTCCAATCTTTACCTGAAAGAAAGAGAAGAACATTTTTGAGGTATATGAATAAGAAAGACAAAGGAGAGGAACCCAAAATCGATGCAGGAGAAGAAGACAGAAAGGATTTGTTTGATAAATTGAAATCTTTGAAGATAGAAGAAGATGACGATGACTTGGATTTCTCAGATGAAGAAGAAGAGGAGAGCGGAGAAGACACTGATGGGTCTTGAGAGATGTATATTAGGTTTGAGAATAAAATTAGTGAAACAATGAAATTTTTTTTTATATCTTTCCAATACCTTCGTGGAATGACAGCATTGAGAAAAAAAAATAGTAAAGTAATCAACATTTATGACATTTTTACAAATGTACACGGTTGCAAAATAAGAGTAACATTTGGCAAAACAATTTTGATGGCCCACATTATTTTGAAGATAAAATCTGTTTATTTTCTTATGAAGTGCAAAAACATAGGTTAAACACCCGAAATGCAATCAGCCAACATTTTTCTAATGAATAAATATATAAATACATTATATTTTGTTCACTCCTTGGTGGGCTTTCCAACACAAAAACGTATTCCACATGACACCCACACACTGAACAACCAAAACTTGATACTTTACAGGAACGAAGTTGAAATTTATCAGCTGCACTGCCGGCCAAAGTTTATAACCGGTCAACAGAATGTCTGTGTACTTCAAGTTCATTTGTTCTTTAGTGAACTCCCAACCGTGGCCTTCCAAAGTGTTGATGCCAGCCATGGTAACTGCTAAGATGTATGGAGCGAACATCAATTGATCTGCTGCGATTTTTTGAAAAGCGCTTACAGGTCCGGATGTTCCAAACATCTTCGAGAGGATGATGTACCAGCCGGATACATGGGGACCCTGGAATACCATAATTTGTAATTTTTATCAAAATTTCATGTGAACATACATCCAAAAAGTAATAGTTTGGTCATAACGGTTTTGAATATTGCTGGTATTCCAACACCAAACCGTTATTTTTAATACCTCAACACGTGGTTCAATAACTAAGTGGTCGTTTTCAAGTGGGAGATTAAATAAATTTAATATTCACCAAGTGATCATCTTCAAGAGGAAGATCATACTGTTCGATATTTCTCTTGAAGATGATCACTTGGTGATCGAAACACGTGTCGAGGTGTTGAAATAACGGTTTGGTGTTATGAAAAAACTCCAGTAATATTCATGACCACACCAAAGGTTCCAAACATAAGTACATAACGATTTTGACTATGAGGATATGATATAATAATCCATTGTGTTTGTAGAAATAAGAAAATCAACAAGAAAAAGGATGGCTTTTCAATAACGTGTATTCACTTGAATAAACCAGGACTGGTCCGAAAAAATCTGTTTATCCAGCTTCAATAATGTACCCCTTCCAACAAAAACAGCAACCTTGACCTTAACAACTGAAATTTTTAATTCAAATTATAAAAAAAGCAGATTTCTGAGTCAGTATCAGTTCACCTTTCTCTCACAATCAATTAGCAAGAGATTGTGTTGGCTATTTTTCTCGAAGTTCGTTCCAAAATTGAGGAATTTTGACTAAAAAAATTGTTGCATTCGTGTCAGATAGTGTTATTTTATAAAAAACCCAACATATAACATGGTTTTCCTAGATATCACTCATTAAAGTAAAAACATCAGATGAAACTTTCAAGATGGCGACTGGACGCCATCTGGGAAAAAAATTAAATGGAAAGGGGGGTCTTGTGACACATCATTTTGAAGCTCCTGACGAATACTAGAATATGAAGTTAATATCTTCACCTACTACAAAATGGCGGAACTTTTGATAATTGCCTGAATACACTGATATTCAACTACAGATTTTAATTCTGTATGGATGATACCTATTCCTCTTCAAAAGTCTCCAAATAGTAGACGGAGACACCTCACAAACATTTGCGACGGAATAAGTAAAATGTTCAGGATTCACTACCATCTTACCAATTATTTGAACTTGCTTTTCTTCCGGAATGGACGGATGACCTGGGGGCCGGTAGTTGTAAATTTGGATACAAGTTCCCTCAAATATTTTCTACAGATAGGACGATTCGGAAAACGTTCATTGAAAAACCTTTCGGTCTGGTGAAAGTTACGCGTCGCACCGTAAATAAAAATCGCTTCAATTTTTTCTTCCAATGGACGAGAATTGACCATTTTAGAGATTGTTGACGTGGTACCTTTCTACTAGTAAAACCGAAAACTTAATGAGATAATTCTAACTGAACAATGATGTTCATTGTCGTACTGACATTTTTTGTCGTTTTAATAAACAAAAAATAACTCAACAAACCTTATTAGGTTATTGAAATTGCCATATGACTTCATATTCTAGGGTTGTGAAGTATTCGTCAGGAGCTTCAAAATGATGTGTCACAAGACCCCCTTTCCATTAATTTTTTTCCCCAGATGGCGCCCAGTCGCCATCTTGACGTTTCATCTGTCAATTTTACTTCAAAATAAAGTATTCATGCATTCATTTCATCATCCTAAATTTCAATTTTTTGAGTTGACCCGTTCAAAAAAAGAGGGGCATTAAAGAAATGCACTGTATATTAACAAATCATATGATTTTTATCAACTTTTCCTTGATTACTCAAAGAAAATTATCATAATTTCGAGTAACTCTTTATATGTTTGCTCCCTCTTATTTCCGTCATTCATTCTGTCGCCTATGAAATATCACATAGTATCTACTCACCACCAACATTGCACCTACTGCAAAAACTCTACAAGTCCTGCCAAAGTCAACATCACCGAGTTTTTTTTTCTCAATGCATGTCTGAGATATGAAATCGCCTGAACCAATCAAAACTCCTGATCGCAGTGATTGATTCAGAACCATATGTCTTTTCTCGAACGCCCTGTATATATTCAGGAGTCCACCGCTTTTACTCATGTTCAATAGTTCAATAGTAGTGAAGGCATAGAAAAAATTAACATATTATCGACATTCTTTATCTATTATTAGACGAGAAATTTCACAAAATCGCGTGGAACGTATATATTTTAAGGTCAGTCACTGCCATCGTGATTTTAAATAAGGCAGTTGTTACGAGGAGATCAAAGTACTCTATGCGATTTAAATGATTTATTTGTTTTATTTCGTAGGTTGTGATTATCAATCAAGTAACGCAAACTTTAATCTCTCTACAGGAATTTCATTTACAGGGCGGGTCGTAATTTTCTCTCCATCAGACAGTACACAAAATAACAACAATGGCGTAACCAGGGCGATAACAGGCTCGTCGTGTAAGCTTGACGATGAGTTTTTGTATGGTAAACAAAATTTGGAGTTTTGATTCTTTGAAAATAATTTTTATTTTATGGTGACAACATGAAAATACATAGATTATTATATAAATAAATTCATTGAACTCCTAGATTATATTTTACAATGACATCAGACAAGATCCACGTCGAAAGTTGTAAAAAATGATCGTACGAAAATGTTCACGATTTAATTCCATTTTTGGGCCGAGATGAATCTTTTAAGTTACTGTAAACAACACAAATAGTGCGCGTATGTCAAAACGTTCTGAGTACGTATAAGCAAGCTCAAAAATGACCAACTTTACGATAGAGCTGTCAGTTGCCAGATTGCAACACTAGGGTTGCCAAATCCCGAAAATAAAAGGCAACCCATAAAACACAATAATGGACCATATAATCAAAATCCTTTGGCAGAAGCATCGCAACTTCAATCCAAGACGAAAAAGGTTTTCTGAAGTTGGAGAAATATGGATTTGGTTTGTCCAGAAAGAAAGTACTTCAGCTTGTTGGGCAGTTTCTTGAGTTCGCCAAAAGAAATAATTCGTCGATAAAAAAGCCATAAAGCGTGGAGGTAGCCCGCAAAAGATTGTAATCCATTCATAATTGACACATATTTCACATTGTTGGAACATATAATCAACCTAGTAGAATCTGGAAACTAGACGAAATAATTTTCAATGGCAAAAATATTTGGAACCAGTGGCAGTATAAGTACATACTTAGTTTATTTTGTTTTGGAGTCTTTTTCCTTATACTTACTCAGAACCGGATTAACCCTGTATGGGCCTGTAGGCAATACAATTTTTGGGCCCCTTTTCTTTACCTACTCTGACTGACTAAATCATGTGATGTATTTTTTTGCCTTCTACCCACATTCCTGAATACCATTCCCGATATAGGCATGGATGACGTCCTAAGGGCGGGTTCAGACATACGCAGGCTCTATGCGTGCTCAACGCGGGTTGGCTGCGTGTTAGTACATAGTCACCCGCGCAGCCCACGCGTAGAGCGCGGTGTTTTCTATGTATACATGAAAAATTAAACGCGACTCAGTTGTTTTTAATTTAAAATATATATTTAACCAAACGCAATAAACAAAAGAAAAAGTGAAGTAACTTCAGTACCTTCGGTTAATTTAAATATGGACTTTTCTAACTTTTGTAAATATAAAATCTTTTACGACTTCTTCAATGTGGACCTTTTCCAATACATCATTTTCAATTGCCACTAACGACAATAAATTTAAGAGATGTTGAGACATTGTTGCTCGAAGGGAATTTTTTAATTTTGAAAAATTTCGTTCTCCTGTCGCGTTTGTTATCATCAAACTTCTATAAGTTTGCAATGCTATCATAACATTTGGGAAAGTTGGCTGAACCATATTATTAAGGATCAATTTATACGATTCTTTAGCAGCTAAAATGTTATCTTTCCTGGCATCCTCCAATGGTGAGACGAAGTACTTTAACTGCACCATCGTTATAAATTCATGCTCAATGTCCTCGGAATAATGCTCAAAAAATTGTGTACAAGCCTCTTTGATTTGATCCTCCGACTTTATTAAGAAATCTGTTAAAAATCCAAATAGAGAATTAACTTCCTGATAGCTTTCTAGTCGTGTCAATTCTGAATGCAGCACGTCCAGTACAGTTAAATAAGTTTCGATTTTCAACTTCTCTCTTCCCTGAGTACAACTTCTTCTGCAGGCCCGTCATCATGATGCTTTTTCCTTCTTCCTACGCGCTGATTTTCATCAATGTAATTAGTACCACTTATTTCAGAAGCCTTCAACTCATAGTCGTCAAATGAATCTCGTTGCGAAGGCAAAAAATCTAAAAGCGATTTCAAAAGTTCAACGGCCGTTCGAAGTTCAATGGTTGCTTTTTGTAGCGAAATACTAACACCATTGATTCGATCCAGTATGGCAGCCCAGAATACTGGCATAATGGCATTTTCTTTTTTTTTCAGAATCCTTTAATAAACATTTGGCCTCGTGAATCAGTTGCGGTGTCTGCGTCTTATCGTCAACAATAGACTGCAGAGCTTTCTGAAAACTCTTATAACCTTTTGACAAGGCCTTGGTTGCATCGGCTCGTGCACACCACCTTGTGTCAGACACTTTTTTTGGAACTAAAGACGACGATTGTTTAGTTTCATCTTGTGTTTCGACACTCTGGAGCATAATTGCCCAGCGATGAGTTGATGCCGAAAAAAAGTTGTACACTTCTTGTACGAATCCGAAGAATGAGATTGCTCCAACGCAGCTCTCCGCAGCACGTACTCCAACCAAATTCAACGAGTGCGCTGCACATGGGACGTAGTGTGCGAGGGGATTTATTTTTTAATATGTGCCTGTGGACCATTGTAACAGCCAGACATATTTGCTGCATTGTCGTAAGACTGACCTCTTGTATTTTTTATATCCATGTTATTTTGATATAAAAAATTCAAAACTGTAGTAGCTAGTTCTTCCCCTTTGTGACTTGCAATAGGAATAAATGTAAGAAAACGTTCTGCTACTTCTCCATTTGATGCAACGTATCTCAGAATTACAGTCAACTGATCTGTATGGGATATATCAGGCGTTGAGTCGACGCTCGGTGAAAAATATTTTGCCATTATAATTTCATCTATAATATGTTTTAAAACCTTGCT